AGAATCATTGAACAGCTGCCTCCTGCACACCTGCTACTGGGGATGGAGCCCACAGCCTGGGCATATGCCCTGACTGGGAATCAAACTGGGACCTCCTGGTTCATAGGTGGATGCTCAACCACTGAGCCATTCAAGCCAGGCAGAGATATTTTACTTTTGACAGTGTATCATTGTTGTCATTTGTGACATTTTAAATATTTATGCAGTTCAAGATGCTATTCTAAGCACTTTTTCAAGTTCATTTAATCCCTGTAACAACCCTGTAAGGTAGTTAGGTACAATTACTCTGCAAATCACACCAGAGATGGAGAGGCCAAGTAACTTATTCTTAGTCACACTACTAAGTGGCACAGGACTCAGACATAATTGTTGTATCTTCAAAGTTTATGCTCTTTATCACTAATACTACATTGCCTCAATTATATTTATGCCTATCTAGCTGTCTACTTTGGATTTATTTAGAAATTAGGAAATAAAAAAAGGAGAAATGATCTGGAGGGTTTATTATAGTTTTGAAGCATATAATCATTATAATCGAGGCCAATAATTAGTAGTTGTCTTCTCAGTTATAGAACCTATTGTCTCTTGTTTCTATGCTCTAAATCTTATGAGTCCATCACTTGAGTTTTTCTAGAGTATCTCCGCTTCCCTGTATTATGTGACAGCATCTTCACTCAGACCGCATGTCATTTTCCAGTGTGTTCCACCTGAGACAGGTCAGATGCCTCCTGATCTTTTCGTAGTTTCCAGAGTGCTGTTTCCAGCATTCTTCCTTTTGATATTCGGAGTCAGCCTTCAACAATGTGGCAGTCTTATTAAATGACTTTTTATGCCTCAAAAGTAATTTATTCTTTGATTAATGAATGTTTCACTTTTATCTTTTGTGTCTTTATAAATTCTGCTATATATTAAACTATCCCTTCAGACCATGGATAGACTTATCTACTGAAGATTGTCTGGCTTTTCTTTTGTGTCTTGAAACTTGAAGTGAAATTAATGAAAGATAAATCAGGGATAAATCAGAAAATAAATGTGTGTTTAGCTTTAGAACGTTTTCATATATTTATCTTTAAATATGATTTTAGTAGATCTTGAAACTGCTAATCAAATATATTTCATTATAATGAAAATAATTTCAACAAATATGTTATCTTATTGTATACTTTGTTGAATTCAGAGATTTCGCCCCTCCCTCTTACTGATCTTTCTACTTCTGTTAACCTTGAATTTTTAAAAGACTAGCCTATTGATTTCAAAGTTTTTTTAAAAAAAATTTGTACATTTAATTATCAAATATTTAAAATGTAGATATTGTCTCTAAAACAACTATTAAAACTTCCTGTCCCCCACTCCAGTATATTTCATTAGATTTTGAGAATTTAGCAGACTGTTAATGAATTAGTGCTAGATGGAAAGCAGGAAAAGGATAGCTCATCAAGGCTTGAGGTTTATAACCTTAACACAGCTACTCTTTCAAAAATCCAGAAACAGCTCTGACTGGTGTGGCTTAGTGGATAGAGTGTTGGCTTTTGGACTGAAGGGTCCCAGGTTCGATTCCGGTCGAGGGCATGTACCTTTGTTGCAGTCACATCCCCAGTAAGAGGTGTGCAGGAGGCAGCTGATCGATGTTTTTCTCTCATCAATATTTCTAACTCTCTATCCCTCTCTCTTCCTCTCTGTAAAAAATCAATAAAATATGTATTTTTTAAAAATCCAAAAACAGCCGAGACTGGTTTGGCTCAATGGATAGAGCGTCGGCTTGGGGACTGAAGGGTCCCGGGTTCGATTCCGGTCAAGGGCATGTACCTTGGTTGCGGGCATATCCCCAGTAGGGGGTGTGCAAGAGGCAGCTGATCGATGACTCTCTCTCATCGATGTTTCTATCTCTCTCCCTTCCTCTCTATACAAAATCAATAAAATATATTTTTTTTAAAAATCCAAAAACATACTAACTTACAAGTTTAGAGGAAAAAAGAGGTATGAATTAGTTATAAATGTGTAAGTTTCCCTCAATATTTTTTTTTTTAGTGAATAAACTAACTTTATTTCCTTGATCTTCTCAAAACATCACTTATTTGTATTTTTATTTCAATATGTATATATCTGTAAATGTACATGTGTAACCTTTAATTATTGAACTTTGTATATTTTATATATCCATTAGCTTATATCATAATTGCATAGCCACTTACTAATAAGAATGTTAGGGATGATATTGTATAAATGCCCTGTTGACCAAAGATATGAGACTGGCACCTAAACCCAAAGAATGATGGAAGTGTTTAAAGATCTGCCCAATTCAGAGAGCCCTGCCCAATTCAGAGAGCTCTGCACATGGTTCTTACCAGATTCAAGGCTGTCTGGATGTGTGATAATATAAACAAAAAGCTTAAAAAAAAAAAAACCCACACACACATAATATATAAAGGGCTGATGATAAGGGTGCCTACCTCTTTCTGAAACCTTATTTTCATGCATCCATCTCTCTGTTTAAGTATGGCATTTTTCCAAGCTCCATGACTATTATAGGTACTTGGGGATGCAGCAGTAAAACAAAGGAGTTGGGGGTGGCAAAAACTATGCAGAGAGCTGTGTTCTAGTAGACAGTGACAAATAAGTAAAATACATTGCAAATGAGATACATTCTCTGAAGAAAAAATAAAGCAGGGCAAGGGATAGTGAGTGGGGACACAACTCAAAATAGAGTGGTCAGAATTTTCACTGAGATCATGACATATAAAAAGATCTCAAAGCTGAGAAAATAAAACATACACCCAGGGGAAGAGTATTCTAGAAGATATTATTGAACTAAGTTTTAGGTTCTATCTATTAGCTTATAGTTGAAAAATCAGAAGGGAGAAATTTTTTAAGTGTAAAGAAAGAAATTCATTCTTATTTTTAAGTAACAATCTTGGGAAAGCCTATGGCCAGTTTCCTTTTTCTGTAAATGATACCACCATTTGCTTGATTTTATTTGTCCTGTCTGCCTCGTGGCTCTACTAGCCAGTCTGTAGCAAGTCCTCTCTATTTCATCTTCTGTGTGTTCTACCTTGGATGTAATCCATGTGGGGTTTCCTTCTCCTAGCAACACTACTTTAGTTTTCTCCTGGATTGTTGTAATACCTTCTTAAACCATCTTTATAGTTTTCCCCTAAATGAATTTGCTGACATAAAATTTACATGCTGTTTCCCTACATAAAATGTTTCATTGGCTTTCCTTAGCTTTCAGGATTAATCATGTTCCTGTCTTTTATCTGAATTTTATTTTACTCATCTGAAAAATGAAGTTAATGCCGTCTATTATACTTCATAAAGATGTTATTCATTATGTTTAAATCAAAACCTTAGATTACTATAGAGTACCTAAATTATGCTTTATTCCCTAGGGTTTTGTTCTGTGTTCTCTTCTGTTCTACATTTTAATTATTCCTTAATGTAGTACCATTTTCTTGAGCTCTAGGCCCACCTACCAGGATATATCCACTTAGATGTCCCTATAGGCAATGTCAAGTCCATCATGTCTAAACAGCTCATTTCCTCTCTACCAACCCAACCGTGCTGTTGCTTTTCTAAAATTGAAAAGCCAGGCTTTACCTAAATTTGCTTTAAAATTCAAACTCAACTTAAACACACAGAGCTTATAATTAGCTTGTTTTTGTTAACTTGTTCTTGTTAATTAATAGCCAAAGATTGTTAGCCATTTTAGGAAAGTGTCCAATTTTAAAAAGAGGCATTATAGAAAAAAGAGAAATTCAAAGGAAATAGGCAATGCATGAAACAAAAACACTTTGAGGAAATGATAAACAACCTCAGATACTAATTAAAACAACAACAAAAAACCATGGTGCTATAAGAAAAAAGGGGAGGTGGGTGAGAAAGATCCTGGAATAAAAAGTACAATAAGCTAATATAAGAGAATTGGAAAAAATAGTTCAGGAACTCTCCCAGGATATAGAACAAAAGACAAAGTCAAGGGAATATTAGAAGTTAATTTAAGCTTCAATATCTAACCTAATAGGAGTTCCAGAAAAAGAGAACAGAATTGGAGAAACTCATTAGTATATTAAGGAAATAAAGCATAAATTTTCCAGACCTAAACTAAGCACATCAGTCACTAGATTGTCACTAAGCTTCTATACGGAAAATAATCGGAGTCTAAAAACTAAGCAAAAAGCTTTCTGAGCATCAAAGTAATTTTCAAAAGTGAAGTACCTTGAAAGCTATTGCTCTTGTTAGTTTCCTTGCACATAGTTTTAATAGTATTAACAAATTGGTTTCCAGGGTTATAGATGACTAGAGAAAGACAGATGACTTGGGCAGACTTAATTGTACAAGAGTACATGATAGCTGATAGTAAGAAAAGAGACAGCTATTAAATTCCAGCACAGGCATTGAGAAAGATGGTCCTATGCCATGTGGAGATAAGGATTCCAGGGCAGCTTTATAATCCTTTTAAGTGGCTGCATGGTACAGCTTGGTTATGTTGACCTCCTTCCAGCCACTCTAGTTGCAGCCATTTAATGCCACAAAAATTTCAAATTTAGCCAGTTTGCTATTTATTGCCAAGTATTTTGTGAAACATCTATTTGCATCCCTGAATCAGACCTAATTCTAATACATACCCAAAGGATAGAAATGAAAGATGAGGAATGGAGTAAGGTAAGATGAGGAAATGGTTTGGGTCACTTTGGATATGCACTATATAGAATGGTGTATATCTTCCCATAGTTGCTCTTCTCAGTAAAGGCAGTCAGATAATTAAAACAAAATCTCTCTTGGTTTTCTTGCATGTTCACTTTTATCTTGTGTTTTTTCTTAAGATTCTTGGTTCTCCCTTCACTCCCACCTCTCCAACACAAGTTACATTGGTCAAACGCATTTATTTCTAATTAATAAACAGATATGCCTGCTATAGTAGAATTTGAGTCTGCTTTTCAACTGAGAACTAAAGAATGAACACAGTTTCTTTCTCTGTAATCCTTTTCTTTGCTGTGTTTTAGAGGAAGCCCACAAATGAAGGGGACACCCCATTTTAAGGAAGAACAGTGTGCTCCCGCATTAACTTTAGAGATGAAGAAAGTTTTGGATTTGCAAGCACCCATTACAAGGTACAGTACTTTGGTTAAATATAGTATTTTGTGATAATAGGCGATGTAGTTGGTTAATCATCTGATCAATTCAATAAGAAGGTTGATTTCATGTCTTTTCATTGAGGATAACTTTTTTAACCCTAGAAATTCTTGATTAATCCTTATAAAAATTTAAAAATTTATAGATGGTACATTATTATGCTTACGTCTTTATAATAAAACCCATAAATTGGATATACTATAATGTTATTTTAGAAATTTGTATTTAAAGTAAGATCTACAAGTTGTTTGAACAATATGTCATAGTCCATATTACTTAAAAGATACTGATGAGACAAGGTTGAGAAAAAGAGAAGTGCCTTTATTTTTATAGCCTCTACAACTTTTGTACTTGGGAGAAGGTTGAGCTTTCTGATCTAAGTGTCAGTAGGATTTTGTAATAAGAAGATCAGAGTACCAAGGGAGCACAAATTATTTTATATTCATTGGTAGAAAAACAAATGACAGTACCTTTATTTCCTTATTTGCTTCACATTTGACATTTTATTTCTATGGAAATTGATTAAGCAATATCTATCAAAATTAGAAATGTTCATGGCCTTTGCCTCGCATTTCTACTTGTGAGAATTAGTCTTGCAAATATAATAATACATATTGGGAATGACATACTTACAGGGTTTTTATTGTACACTAGAGGCTTGATGCATGATACTCGTGCACTGGGAGGGGGGTAGGAAGGGAAAGTGCTCAGCCTAGCCTGCACCCTCTCACAGTCCAGAACCCCTTGGGGGATCCTTAGCACTGCCACTGCTACTGCCTGGCTTCTGGCTAAGTGGCACTCCCCCTGGTGTTCAGTGCATATCATAGCGACCTGTCATTCTGCCGTTCGGTTATTTGCATATTAGCCTTTTGTTATATAGGATTGTTAACAGTAGGAAAAGGTTGAAAACTACCTAAATATCTTATCAGTAGGGTCTGTTTAAATATATTTTCTTACATCTGTACAGTGGGAATAAGATGCATCTGTAAAACCAGTGAGGGTATTCTTTACTGAAGAAAACGTATCAAATAAGTTTTTTTGTTTGTTTGTTTGTTTGTTTGTTTGTGAAAAGCAAGGTATGCTGTGTACAGGAATGCTATATTTGTTTTTCTTTTCCAAAGGAGCTGGTGGTATTAGACTTTGTATTGTTCTGGAAGAATACATGAGACTAGGCATGAGAACTGAGTGGCAGGAGGACAGTTTTGGGGAAAAAGACTTTTTACTATGTACTCTTACTAAATACTGAACTATATGGATGTAATATGTAAATATATTGAACTATAAAAATATAATACCTGTTTTTTAAAAATACCTTGTGATTTTTTTTTCTAATGAATAGCTTCTTTCACTATTTTGTTAGCGTATAGTACCGATACCGGTCCATAGTAAGTGAAATTGCATATAGGTGGTTGGCAATTGTCTTGCCTTGTTTAATCTATCTTTTTATATACTCTCCTTATAGAAAAAAATGCTTTTGGTTTGTGTTTGCTTAAATGTGATCAGGGTTATAAAAGGTTGAATACACATTATTCATCACCTTATTCAAAAAGTTGCTCTTTACTTCAGATTTTATTTTACACATAGATATCTTTTCAAGAATGTAATTTGTTGCAAAGAGATTTTGAATGTCTGCCAAACAGGGTGGAACTTTACAGCATGGTGTTCTGTCTCCACCTGGTGGCAACAATTGTGTGGTTCATGGAAATGGCATAGAAAAAGAGCCTTTAGACAAAGAATTCCTGCCATGTTGTACAACTTACCCTCCCACTACCAAAAATATGTCATATACAGTTATGGGTAATGGATACACTGTTGCTTTTAGGCATAAGATAGCAAAAGTACTGCCATTTTTAAAAATTATTTTTTATTATCTGAGTGTTTTAATTTGTTTTTCCCAAACATTACTGCTATCTTTTAAATTTTTTTGTTAAAAAAAAAAAGTAGGATTAATGTTAAGCATCCAAATTTTGTTATTAATTGAGAATAGAAAGGTAAAAAGTACTAACCATTACCACACAATAAATCATAATAAATACCATAGTTTATTCCGTATCTTGTTCCATCCTAGGCACTTAGAAAAGCTGTATGTAATATATAGTATTTAATATTAGTTAGCCATTAAATATATTTTCATATTTGAGAATTGATAATTATAAATTATATATATATATTTTAAAACCACCTTTGGAATATCAGGTAGCTATTATAAAGCCCATGATGAAGTTAGTAATTAGAGAGGCTCACTGAGAATATAGAATATATTTATTTAGTTTCAAAATATTTTTTAAAAAAGAGTATAAATGTAAAGACATGGATATTGGTTCCTGATATAGGGTCCTGATATCCTGTGATGCCAAGCAATAATCCTTTAGTAGTTAGAGCTTTGCGAGTGAGGGAATCAGTGATTGACAGGCACTTGAGTAGCTTGAAACAACGTGTTTTAACTTCTTTGGAACTATTCAGTGACATCAGCCTTTGTTTAATGAGTTAGTTTAGTTCTAATAAAATGAGGCTATATGTCTTTTCTATAGATTTTTAAAATTATTATCACAATTATTTTAAAGTCGTTATCTTTATATCCAACATGAGGATTTTGTATGTATCTATGTTGATTGATTTTTTTTCTCTCTTGACTCTTGGTCACATTTCCTGTTTACTCACATGTGTGGGCATATTTTGTCACAGCATTGTGAGTGATGATGTAGAGATTCTTAATTCCATTAACTTTGTCAGAAGAGTTTTGCCTCGCAGGCAGTTAAAATGCTGCAGGATAACCTGGTCATATGCAGTAATTCTAGGAAGATAGGAGCAGGGGAGAGGGAGAAAAATCTAGTTTGAAAAAAACATAGGTTGAGTCCTGCTGAATGAAAATCACTGGTAAAACAATGACTGTTCTGCTCACTCGCCTTTTTTGACATGTAGTAACAGATCTAAAACTTAAGTTTTTGTATTCTGCTCAACACATGCTACATAAAAACTTTATCACAAAAGTATAAATTTGAAATGAAAGAACACATAAAATACTAAACAAAATCAACATTAAAACTGGGAATTTTACTTGATTATAAATGCTCTGGTGTTCGAGATGGATCTGGTTTGTGGGGACATGTTCTACTACTCTGTTTCAGTATTATCTCACATCCTTGGGGAATGAGTCATTGAACTCAACTATCCAAAAATTTGAAGGTTTAATTTAAGAATTAAAACATTTTTACCATTATGGATTAAATGTTTATGAACTATACTCTTTTTAATAGTGTATATTAGAGTATATATTATAGACACACAACATTTATCATTCTTGTTTCTACTTTGATACTTTTTTAAATATAAAGTCTAATTAGCACAGGGGTTAGACTTTATTTTTTTTAATATATTTTTATTGATTTTTTACAGAGAGGGATAGAGAGTTAGAAACATCGATGAGAGAGAATCATCGATCAGCTGCCTCTTGCACATCCCCTACTGGAGATGTGCCCGCAACCAAGGTACATGCCCTTGACCGGAATCGAACCCGGGACCTTTCAGTCCCCAGGCCACCAAACCGGTTTCGGCTACTTTGATACTCTTGAGTTCTCTTTCTTAAATTCATCTATTTCCTAGGCTTTCTTGGTACTAATTTCTGCTATTTCTTCCCTGTTCTCTTTTTCTTTCTTCTTGCCAGTACTTTTGCACTTTCATTTATGGGTTCCCCCTTTTTCTTTTTCTTCCTTCCACAAACAATTACTGCCAAATATAACTAGCACTGCTCTAGGGACTGGGCAGGTAAGAATAAGCCAAGTAAGCATTTATTTGCCATTCAGTAAGTAAATGTTAAATCACATTGCAGTGTGACTCAGTGGTTGAGCATCAACTTATGAATCGGGAAGTCATGGTTCGATCCCTGGTCAGGGCATATGCCTGCTAGATCCTGAGTGTGGGCCTGCAGGAGGCAGCCAATCTATGATTCTCTCTCAACATTGATGTTTCTCTCTCTCTCTTCCTCATCCTCTTTCTGTGAAATCAGTAAAAATATATTTAAAAAATAATATCTTTGCAAACATCAATAAGAGCTGAGATCAATATTACAGAATTATTTTTTTAATACTTCATCAACTGGGAGTTCTTCTGAAGGGAAAAACTTATTTTATTGACCTTGGAATCTCCAACAGAGAGCATAGCACCTGCTACAGAGCATGGGCATAATAAGTATTTGTTCAGTAAATTAACAAATTGAGACTCATGATAACCTTGGAAGCACAGTGGTCTAAAACTGTGCTTTCCAGTACAGTAGCCACTAATCAAATTAATTCATTTCCATTTAGTTAAAAGTAAGCAAAATTTAAAATTTGGTTCTGTCACACTAACCATATTTCAAGAGTGTAGTTATCATGTGTGGCTAGTGGCTACTGTGCGTGACAGTGCAGATACAGAACACTTTATCATAGGTGGAAGACCCATTGGACAGGGTGAGCGATTGTTACTCTGTGCTCAATGGCCAGATTGTTATCCTTTCATTAGTTCTTTTTATATTTTCTCTGCCTCTTTAATTGTTAGCTACCACTTGTCCTTCCGTCTCCTAATTTACTGTTCAGTACTTTTAGTTTTTAACTGAGTTCATCAAATTTGTGACTGTGGCTGCCCATAGTCTTCCATAATTTCTGACTCTAGATTGAATTACACATAAAGTTACTATATAACTAAATTGTAAATAAATGACAGTTTTGTAAGTGGTTTCATTATCTTCTCTGAATGAATATTCTCTAAGGCAATTATATTAATACTCATTGATTTCCCAGTATGCTCTTTTAAACTGTAATTGATAATAAATTGCTTACTTCCCTACAGTTTGCAGTCTGTGCTGGAAGATCTCCTGGTTGCTACTGCTGATGGACAGCTTCATCTTATTCACTGGGAAGGAATGACAAATGGAAAGAAAGCTATTAATATTTCCACAGTACCCTTTTCACTAGATCTACAATCATCTAGAGGTAGTTATACTTCCTGCATGGGGTAGAATCAGATGATTAACATTTTATATAACCTAGCTAGATATTGCAATGGATGAACATTGATTTTTCTACTTTGGAATTAATTATGCAAGGGAGTTGTTTGTGTGTGTCTCTATGGGCATTGTTTAGTGTTTTTAGGTCATTATTGTTGCCTTTTTAACTATCCTTACAGGGTTTTTAAGCAAGAATGTGAGGGAGTTATTTATTATTTCATGTACTTATTTTTTTTATCAGCAGGTTCATTCTTGGGCTTTGCAGATGTGCACATCAGAGACATGGAATACTGTGTCACACTTGATGGGTTTGCTGTGGTGTTTAATGATGGTAAAGTGGGATTTATTACACCAGTGTCCAGTAGATTTACTGCAGAGGTATGACTGGCTTACTTTGAATGTTTGTTTTATTTATTGTGCATTGAATAATTTTATCTTTACTAAAATCCTCCCCCATTTAAAAAATATATATATTTTATTGATTTTTTTACAGGGAGGAAGAGAGAGGGATAGAGAGTTAGAAATATTAATGAGAGATAATCATCAATCAGCTGGCTCTTGCACACCCCATACTGGGGATGTGCCCACAGCCAAGGTACATGCCCTTGACCAGAATCGAACCTGGGACCTTCTAGTCCGCAGATCGACACTATCCACTGAGCCAAACCGGTTTCGGCCTTTCCCATTTTTTAATTTATGATTTTATGGGTTATTTTTAATTAATTTTATTTATTTAGTATCTTTATTGTTGCAAGTATTACAGAGGTCTACTCCTTCCACCCTATTCACCTGTGAATTTTTAAAATAAAAAATATATATACACACACACATATATATATAGTATAAGTAGACCAATAATTATCTATTAGACATGCTGGGGGGGAAAAAAGAGATTTCCTGCCCTCCCTGCTCTCTTCACATCCAATTTTCATTCTTGTAGGCAACTACTTTTTGTTCTTTTGCTATTTATTTTGCTATTCATCTTCACTACTCTGTATTTCCTTTAACTTTTGGTTTTTAGGCTGTGTTTATATACCTCCAATTGTGGAAAATGACCATCTACTTTCCTCTTCCCAGCTTCTCCACATATTTTCCAGCATAGCTGTTGTGGTTTTGATTAGATTACTATTCATTGTTTACATTGATATTGCTTTGTACACTTATATTAGTACCTGCCCATCTGAGATGTTATATTTTTCTTTTTTTTTCTTTTTTAGTAGATTTTTTTTCCTCCTACTTGGAATTAATACTTGTTAACTTCTTTACATTTGCTTAGTTTCTATGTATTTACCAGAAACTCAACCCCAAACTGTCAGCTGGTTGTGTAAATTTCCTCTCAGTTTTTTCAAACACGTAGGTGTTCTATCATTTCATATTCTTGAAGAAATTTCTCTAGGAGCCTCTGACCTGCTCTAGTCTGGGGTGTTGCTCACTATACACGCCTTTAACACAGGTGTATTGGGGCTCTCCACCATCATCCAGAGGATTCTTTACTCCTTTATTTGTATGTCATTATTTCACAATGAATGGTTAATTCATATATGATTAGTTAATTTATGAATTTGGTTGCTGTATAGAGACCCAAAAGAAAATGTTGGGTTCGTTGATAAGCTCTATGGATTTTGGTTGAGTATGATCTTTACTGTATGGTGAGCTAACTGGATTATTTCCTTTCCTCCCTCTCTGTATCCAAAGAGCATTTGAGGAGAGTCCTTTCCAGAAGAAAGTATATACCTGGCTGACCAAGTATTCTAGGATTTGAGTTGTGGAAGAGGGTCCAGATTCAGAATATAAACTTTTACTTATTCCTGTTTTTGTTTTTGTTTTTGAGGTCCAGAGATCACTGGAAGTTGTTTGTTTGTTTTTCTCCAACAAAAACCCTCCAGTTTTCTGTTAGAGTGGAGGTGGGTTGTTTCTTAGCAGCTAAAACTGGGGAAGTACTCCTGGAAGACCTCACTGCTGCTTACACAGGCTTTAAAGCAGTCCTGCTTTGAGTCCAGCCTTTCAGAGACATCTAACTTTCCAAGCCTTTGTGTGCCCATAATGTAAACTTAGCTGCTCTCAACATTCTTTACTGCCAGTTAAGGATTTTTCCCTTATACTTTCCAGCTTCCAGGATTTTCTGATACTACCTTATCTCCCACTTTTTGTTCTTGCGGATTATGCTTTTTGAAAAAAATCTGTTACAGTAGTCAGAGAAGATAAATATTAATGTTAAATGTGCTCTTTTTAACTGGAAAGGATTTTAAGGTGTGTGTGTGTTTGTGTTTGAGGGCATATTTTTTCTACATGGTATCAGCTTTAAGGTTTCTAATAACTATTTCCATTACCAACTTTATTCAGGTAGTAAGGTACTAGATAATACATCTGTAATAACATGTCAGTATGTAAATTAGAATAAAAATAAGCTTTTGAAGAACCTTTTTTTTTTTTTTACAAGGTACAAATATATTTGTAATTATGTTAGGGATTTAAATGTTTTTTACTAAAAGCAAAAATATTAGAGCTGAAAAAGTGATTGACTCTTTTCTGAGTATCAAATTTTATTAGTATTTGATTAAAGAAACTTTTTTAGTCAATTAAGGTTTAATATATAATGGAAAATAGATGGTCATTATTAAATGTTATAAATAGAAAATATAAATTAAAAGAAAACAATACATAGGTATTACTGGTAGTTAGGAAACACAGTGGCATCTTTATATTTGACATTATTTTTTAAATATATTTTTATCCAGAGAGGAAGGGAGAGGGAAAGAGAAATAGAAACATTGATAATGAGAGAGAATTATTAATCAGCTGCCTCCTGCATACCCCCTACTGGGAATTGAGCCTGCAACTCAGGCATACGGGAATTGGACCGTGACCTCCTGGTTCATAGGCTGATGCCCAACCACCGAGCCACACCAACCAGGCTATTTCAGACATTATTTAAATGTTTTATAAAAATTCTGTTCAGCATTGTTCAATATATTTAACAAATAAAATATGTACGATTATGCCATGCCTCTGCTCAAAACACCTTCAGTAGGATTGTATAATTAGGACAAAACCTGCTGAGGGCAACTAGAAAAGCTGAAGAAAAAATATTTTTTAAATGTGCTTAAATGTTTTGGAGAACTAGTTAAGACAGTAAAGAATACCAGGCTGGAGGAGGCCAGAGGCCTAGTGAACTAAGCCCAGTGTTTGAGGTAACAGTGGGGATGAACAAACAAGATTGTGTGCAACAATGTGGATGGAACATGTTGGGTGAAAGCAGTTAGACACAAAGGGATACGTGCTATGAGTCTATTGTATGTAAATTTAAAGGAAAAATACAAAGTTTGTATGGATGCATGTTTAAGTGGTAATGGTTTAAAGGGAAAGAAGGAAGTGATTCCCATGTAAGTCTGGGTATTGGTTATATTTGTGATGGGGGAAGGGTATATTAATCAGAAGGGACACTGTTCGGGACCTTTGGGTACTTACTCATAATTACCACTTGTAGAGTGGTAATTCTACAAGTGTTCACTTGGTGATGTTATGGAAATGTACATTTTTATTTTGTGTTGTTCTCTAATGTATTTATAATTCACTAGAGGCCCAGGAGATGTCTGACTGCTGGTTTGGGATTGGGCTGAAACCGGCAGTTGGATATCCCTCTCACAATCTGGGACTGCTGGCTCCCAACTGCTCACCTGCCTGCATGCCTGATTGCCCCTAGTAATTCCCTTGCCAGTCTGATCAACACCAAACTGCTCCCCTGCCAACCTGGTCATATCCAATATCCTCCCCTGCAGGCTTGGTCGCCCCAAACTGCCCTCCCCTGCAGGCCTGGTCTGGTCCCTGCAAACTGCCCTCCCCTGCTGGCCTGGTTGCCCCCAATGCCCTCCCCTGCAGACCTGGTCTGCCCCAACTGCCCTCCCCTGCAGATCTGGTCCCCCCCCAATTGCCCTCCCCTGCAGGCCTGGTCCCCCCAACTGCCCTTCCCTGCAGGCCTGGTCCCCCCCAACTGCCCTTCCCTGCAGGCCTAGTCACCCATAACTGCCCTCCCGTGTCGGTCATCTTGTAGTGGCCATCTTGTGATCACATGGGGATGGCTATCTTGTTTCAGGGTGTGATGGTCAATTTGCGTATTACCTCTTTATTATATAGGATAATTGAAAAGGTTAAAAAAAGCACTCCACTGATTCCCGATATGTAAATTGGAAAAAAAGCTGTTACCACATCTTCTAATTCCTCTTCCTCCACTCCACCTCTTCTGCACAGCCTCTTTGATGCTCTTTGGACACACCAGAAATGCAGTCTATGACAGGGCCTTTGTACTTAATATATCTTCTCAGTATTTGCCTTAAAACACATATTCACAGGCAAATCCATTTTTTTTTTTTTACTTTTTTAAATCGAATTTATTTAAACAATACAACAAAATTTAATCAACAATATAGTTGCCGTTGTTTTCTACTACTTGTGCCCAACGCTCAGGAAGCATTTTTTTTTTTTTTTTTTTACATATTTCACAGGCAAATCCATTTAGTATTACATCCTTCCTTCATACTCCCCCTTCCCCATAATTGCTTTATTAGTTATTTCTGTAGCATTTGCCACCTTCCAATAAACTGGATATTGTTTTAATTTGTTAGCTTCTTAACAAATGTAAGGCAGGATACAAGTAAGGATTTGGGTGTGTTTGAATACCTGGGTGTGTTTGAATACCTGCCTTTTCCTCAGCACCTAGAGCAGTGCCTGGTGAATAATGGGCACCTGAAAAATACTTATTGCAGGAATGAATTTCAGTAAACAGTCATCCAAAGAAATAATGCTCAATGCCATCTTTACCATTTTTTATAACCTAAAATAATGCCAGTTTTATTATTAAAATTAAATTCCTACCAAAAAAAAGCAAATATTCCATGTTTAGATAGTAGGTTACAAAGCTCATTTAGTAATTAAAAAAAAGTGTAGTATTATATTTTCAAAAAAGTCATAAATATATTTAGTCTTCTAATGTTTACTATTGGGATCATCTAAAAGTAAAGTGTGCTATTTATAAAGTAGCATATAAATTTAATAATAATGACATTCATATATTGAATGCTTAATTCAATGAATGGTAGCCATTGTATTAAGTGGTTTACATGTGTGTACACTCACATTTAATCTTCAAAACACTCTTAAGAGGTAAGAAGTTTACAGATAAAAAAAATACCAAAGCTTGGAAAGGGGAAATAACCATTTCAGCAAATATAAGGTAGACCTAAGATAACAGGCTGCCAGATACCATGCTATTAATCATTATTCCATAAAGCAAAGGAATAATAGAGAATAGTAAACAATTGACAAATTATGAATTGCTTATAAGAATATACCAAATAATGTGGATATTAAGTACAGCATAGGAAATATAGTCAATAATATTGTAAGAGTTATGGATGGTGCCAAGTGGTGCTGGAAATATCAGGAGGAACATTTTGTGAAGTGTATGATTGTCTAAACATTATGCTGTGTACTTAAAACTATGTGCTAGTTAACCACAAGAATAATAATAGTGAACCAGTTAGATGCAGTTTGTGCTGTCAAGAGGTTTATATCCTAATAGGAAAGTCAACATCATTTAATTTGAATTTAGAGATCAAACACCCATTTTTTAGTGTTCTGTAAGTAGATCAGCACTGGACTGAGCTCATTTGGAAATATTTATTGAAAGAATTAATGAAATTGATGTTTTCAGGGAGGAAATTCAGATAGTAATCCTGATGGAATATTTTTCTATCTAGTTGAAACCAAATAAGATAAAACCTTATGAAATTCTTTTTATTGAAGCAGAATTATATTGATTACAGTGTGTTTGGGAGAACATTTTTTAAACCTTAACTGCTTTCCTTTTATTATAGCAGCTTCATGGAGTTTGGCCACAAGATGTTGTTGATGGAACTTGTGTAGCAGTAAATAACAAGTATCGACTAATGGCATTTGGTTGTGCGAGGTAATGGATATAGACTTATGCAATTTAAGACTTATGCAATTTAAGTGTTATTGCAAAAAAAATAATGTTTTTTAAAACATCAGATGTTCCTAATATACTTGTAAAGTTTGTCATCCCATTATAATTTGTGAATCAGCCTTAATACAAAATCTAACAGTATTTTATTTTATTTTTAACCTATTTTCATTGATTTCAGAGAGGAAGGGAGAGGGACAGAGAAACAGAAACATCAATAATGAGAGAGAATCATTGATCAGCTGCCTCGTGTGCAACCCCTACTGGGGATCAAGCCCACAACCTGGGCATGTGCCCTGACCAGGATTCAAACTGGGGCCCTTCAGTTCACAGGCCGACGCTCTATCCACTGAGCCAAACCAGCTAGGGCAAATCTAACTATTTTAGGTGGAAACAAACCAATCTAAATGGCAGATTTTGGAAATTATCTTAATTTGTACAATAAAAGTGAGCTTTTCTTCAGTGATAAGAAATGGAGTTATAAGTTTAAAAAAATTGAATCAGTTAAAATTTAGATACTTAATTATTTAACAGGATCAGGAAGATATTTTTTCTCTTTTATATAATCTTTCCCTTTTAATTAAGTTGACATTGTCTTTGCATCAATGAATATGCCTTAGTTAAGGAGCAAATTTAAAGCTCATACATAAAACCAGTTTCTTGTTTTAATTCTAATAATGCATATTTTAGAAGAAAAATAGAACAGTTATTCAGTGCATATCTGTGTGTCTGCCATGTACCAGGCATAGTTATTAGCACTTGGATTCATTAGAAAACAGCAATGCTATCTGACTGTCAGGCTATTTTAGCTCAATTAAAAAGATTATATTTGATACATGGTGGGCAAAATAGGTTTACAGTTATGAGTACACAAAACAATTTATTTTTGTATTATTCTTTATTAATTTGTATTATTTTCCATATGAATAACTGGCAACCTACTTACCCTACCCTGTATCAGATACTTACAGTAATGCTTTACAGTATGTATAATGCTCTTTAGTCTTTAAAACTTTCTTAAATATAAAATTCCATTTGCCCTAAAAATGAGACTTAGTGTTTCTGTAGAACATACAGCTAGTATAATCACCAGCTACAAGGGTCAAAGTATCTTTTTAATATAAATAATTCACATGTATAATTCATCACCACTTTCATTACACTCTCAATAATCTCTTTGTAAAGTAAGGAATCTTCATCCTCCCTTTTTACTGAAGAGGTAAATGTAGAAATATAAGTAAGCTTAGTACAAGAAAGAAAAAAAAGCATATTTTTTTCATATTCACAAATTTGATTTGGTCATATTTTGTTTAGAATTTAAAAATCTATGCCTATAATTTTTCTTACTCTACTGGTTTTTAACACACTTGCCTCAAAACAACTTGAGGAAGGGTTTGTCCTTCTCATTCTCTTCTCTGTGGTCAGATTTGTCAATGAAGCCATCTGAATCTAGAATTACCTGTATGGGAATCTTTTGTGTTACTGGTTTAATTCAGTTTTAAGAATAGATTTAAGAAGATTCAGATTGTCTCTCTCTTCCTAAGTAATTTTGGCCATTTTTATTTTTCTTGAAATTGGGTTTTTTCATATGCACTGTCAAATTTATTGGCATAAAGTTTGTAATATCCTTTTAAACTTTCATATTGTAAAGTAAAATATACTTTCAGGAAAGTACATACTGCAAATATTCCATTTTACAAATATATTTAATATATACACATATTTATTTACAACTGCGCCAAGAAATAGAACATTGCCAGCCAACACAACTTTTACCCTGGCTACATTCTAATCACAACTTCTGTCCCTTTCCCCACTCACTTAAAAGTAATCAATTTTCTGTTTTTTGTGATAATCATTTCCTTGTCTCTGTAGTTTTTTCACCCATGTATGTGTTCTTAAAGATTTAGTTTCACCTGACTTTGAAGTTTATATGAGTAGAATTTTATTCTATGTTATGTGTGTTGCTCTTTCAGTCAGTATTATAAAATTTATCTGAGTTCTTTGCTTGTAGCTGAAATAGTTTTTGATTGATTTATAAATAATTTTAGTGCATGAATATACCATAATTTATCTGACTTTGCTGTTAGTGAACATTAATATTTTTTTGGTTTCAAAAAAAAAAAAAAGACATTACCTAATAATAGACAGACATGTAAAATTGACCGAACCTCCGCTATGCCCACAGCCAATCAGAGTGAGTTTGCAAATTAGAAGGCCAAAGATGGCAGCTTCTCAGCTGTTCCAGGTGCAGAGTGGCCAGGCGGGGCAGGACACTGCTATGAGAAGGAGGGCAGGGGCGAAGGGATCTACAGAAGCATAGTGCCGCAGCAAAGACAAGATTGCAGACTCTGGAGTCTGCAGCAAGGACAAAAACGACAGCCTTTGGCTGGAGCGAAGGCCTGGGTCTCTGGTGCCGGAGGAAAACTGGTGCCGGAAGCCAAGGGAAGTCCTATTGCACAAATCTCTTTGAACAACAGGCCTTTAGTTCTCTCATAAAAACCCAACACCTTTATCACAGATGAGAAAGTTAATAAACTCCTACTAAGATCTGATACTCAATTTGTATTGAAATTGTTGTTTTGTGGGGTTTTTTTTGTTTTGTTTTTATTCTCACTCAAGGATATTTTTTCCCATTGATTTTCTTTTTTAGAAAGAATGGAGGGTCAGAGAAAGAGAAACATTGATTTGAAAGAGACACATCAATTGTTTTGCCTCCCACACTTGCCAGACTGGGACTGGGGATCAAACCTGTAACTGAAGTAGATGCCCTTGACTGGGAATTGGACCCGTGACCCTTTGGTCCATGGGCCGATGCTCTAACTACTGAGCAGCCGATCAGGGCCATGTTGAAATTAACCAAGATTTTTTTTCTCATTTTTTTTTATTAAGGTATTATATGTGTACCTACCTTACCAATCCCCACCTCACCCACCCCCAAGATTTAAAATATATATATATATAGATTTCTTTTCTTTTTAATATATTTTATTGATTTTTCACAGAAGAAGAGAGAGGGATAGAGAGTTAGAAACATCGATGAGAGAGAATCATCGATCAGCTGCCTCTTGCACACCCCCTATTGGGGATGTTCCTGCAACCATGCCATTGATCGGAATCAAACCTGGGACCAAATCCGCAGGCCGATGCTCTATCCACTGAGCCAAACCAGTTTCGGCCCAAGATTTTTTTTTTTTTTTATAGCTTCTTTGTCCTAACAATAATCAAGCAAAATTCGTGAATTATATTATTTATTTTTAGTCACCTTTTGCCTATAACAGTTCTTATACCTTTTTTCTTATTTGTATGACATCAACTTTTTTTAAGAGTCCATGTCAGTTGTTTCTAGAATATCTCACATTCTAAATTTCTTTCTTTATAATGCCATTTAATTAGTTTTTCTAGCACCTGCAATGACTGGAAATTTGAAGCTGAGCCAATACAGTTAATGACTAGCATGCTCACATGTCATCATTTAGGAGGAACTCAGAGACTTGAGCAGTGGCGGATGTAGTTTCACATCACCTACATTCAGGGCTGGTGCCCAGGGGTCTAGCAAGGCCGATGGGAAAATCCAGGAGAAGTGCTCTAGTTCTCTCTTGGATAATAAAGGTAGAGTCTTGGCCTTCAACCTTTTATTCTTCTCAGTTTTCATCAGTTAACTGCCACACGCCCAAAAGGGAAACCATTCCCATACACCATAATATTTTGAATTTAAGTGTCTCTAGATGCTTATTATGTGCAAAGGGTCCATTGGTTGGGAGAGTATCAGCCCATCTGTCATGATCATGGTCTGGGTTGTAAGTTTTGTGATTGTAAGTAAGCATTGCAGCCTAGTGGCTTTTAGCTCTGATCTGCCGTCACTTGCCAGGATTAATTTCCTTGAGCACTGGACTGTACCTGTATTTTTCTAGGAATTGGTTTTCCTATAGAATCTTGTAAGAAGCCAACTTTCTTTTAGGATGCTAATTTGCAGGGGATCATTCTTACAATCTAACATTTATCTTTATACTTAAGTTTAAATGACACCCAACCAACTAAGCCACACCAGCCAGACTGTAAAGATGTTTTAAATGAAATAATTACATATACCTTATACCCAAAAGGCTTGTATTGTGTATAGATTTAAAAAGTAATGGATATAACAATAATAAAATGAAAATCTGTATAAATTACCATTTAACATGAGAAATAGCACATTACCAATGCTGATGAAGCCCTGCCTGCCCCCTTCTCCACAAGCTCAGTCACTGATTTGCAGTTAGTGTACCTTAAGACTTTTTTACCACATGTATAGTTCCTGTGTTTTGAATGCTTTTTACTATATAGAAACAGAATTATACTCTATATCTATTTTAGTGCATGTAACTAAATTTTATTTCTTTTAATACTGTGTGATATATTACTGTATGATTATACCACAGTTCATTTTCCTTTGTTATTGCTGAACATTCAGATTTTCATGTTTTGCACTTTACAGAATACTATGATGAACATTATACATGACAAGGATGTTCTGGGGTTATAGCTAGAGGTGAAGTTGCTAGATTACAGAATATGTATCTGGTCAAATTTATGAGATGACTACAACTTATTTAAAATTTCATTTTGTTCTAGTTTATATTCCTACCAGCAGTACATAAGCATTCCCGTAATAATACTTTTTATATTTGCGTTTATCTTTTTGTACTGAAGTTTGTTTGTTTTTTACAGTGGTTCTGTACAGGTTTATACAATAGATAACACCACTGGAGCTATGCTGCTGTCTCATAAACTAGAATTAACAGCAAAACAGTATCCTGGTGAGTCTTCTTCTGGTTTTAACATTTTAATATATAGATATGTGTAGTGAATGCTACTTTCAAATGATTGAAAATTATGTCCTGGAACCCCTTGTGAGTTTTCCATGGTGCTGTGAGATACTTTGGCTGAAAACTTCAGTCTTACCGTTCATTTAACCATGAAAATACATGCAGGTCCTTGAGTGTCAGCCTTTGTCTCATCTGTTCTTTGTCTCACCTGAAATGCCCCATATTTCTACAGGGAGGGTACATTTTCATCTTCCAAGTTACAGCTCCAGTGAGAAAAAAAAATTAATGATTAGAATACTATTCCCTCTTATGCTCCATTGCTCAAGTTTTTATTGTTCCTTCTGTATAGCCTTTAAAGGTCAGCATGTAGTATTTTTTTTTATTTATTCTTTATTACATACGTCTTAAAGTATTATATATGTCTCCTTTTTCCTCCATTGACCTCTCCATTGGCCATTCTGACCCCCCAGCACATGCCCTCATCCCCCTACTGTCGGTGTCCATTGGTTATGCTTATAGGCATGCATACAAATCCTTTCATTGATCTCTTATCTCTTCCCCCTGCCCGACACACACACATTCCCCTGGCTTCCCTCTTAGGTTTGACGGGCTCCCACATTGTGACAGGGCTCAGGTCAAGGGGGGATCTCCCTTCCGAGTGCATAAATTTTGTGCATTGGGCCACTAGTTGGTATATAAAAAGGCCATAGATTTCTGGGTGTTAATTTTGTATCCTGCTACATTGCTAAACTCATTTCTTAGGTCTAGTAATTTTTTTATGGAGTCTTTAGTGTTTTTGTGTATAGTATCATGTCATCAGTGAATAAGGACAGTTTTGCTTCTTCTTTTTCAGTTTGAATGCTTTTTTATTTCTTCTTCTTGTGTAATTGCTATGGCTAGACTTCCAGTACTGCATCGAACAGGAGTGGTGAGAGTGAGCATCCCTGTCTTCTTCCCATTCTCGGGGAAATGGGCTTAGTTTTTGCCCATTTAGTATGGTCTTGGCTGTAGGTTTGTCATATAAGGCTTTTATTATTTTGAGGTATGATCCCTCTATTCCCACTTTGCTGAGAGTTTTTATCAAGAAAGGATGTTGGATTTTGTCAAATGCTTGCATCCCCAGAATAAATACCGCTTGGTCATGGTGTATGAAACTTCAGGTGTTTTTTTTTTTTAACTTGGATCCCTCTGATATTGTCAGTAGAGCATGAAGATAGTGGGAAAAGTATTTTACATTTTAAAATACCTTATTTTTTTATGATCTACTTTAACGTTTATGTTAAATCATTCAAGGAAGGGCTTATCCCAATTTTATAGAGACTGATTCACCCAAAGCCAAAGACATTTAAAGAAATGTTTTTTATTGATTTGAGAGAGAGAGAGAAAGAGAGAGAGAGAGAAACATTGATGGACCTTCCACACACATCCCACTCAGGGATCAAACCAGCAACATTTCAAGTGCACAGTATAATGCTCAACCAACTGAGCCACACCAGTCAGGGCCAAAGCCAAACACTTAAACTCTCCATACACAGTTGTAGTTATCAAAGCTGATCCTACCCCAAACTGCTTTCATCTTATAAGTAACTTGGGCACTGAGTTAATTCTGCTTAGGTCAGGGTCAGTTCAAAGCCAATGTTCTTAGTCTTCAAATAACCCTAAATGAGCAGGATTTATCTCATTATTTGAAGCAGGCATGCCTTTCTATTTATTTCAACTTGAAAATACAGACTAAAAAATAAATATTTCTGGAGCAATCATTTATTTTTAACTCTTCTCACAATTTCTTAACAGATATTTGGAACAAGACAGGAGCAGTTAAATTGGTCAGGTGGTCTCCTGACAATAGTGTTGTAATGGTGACCTGGGAATGCGGAGGCTTTTCTTTATGGAGTGTGTTTGGAGCTCAGCTGATATGTACACTTGGAGGAGATTTTGCGTGAGTCAATAAAGACAAGTTTTAGATAAAAGTTTATCTCTACTTAATCTCTCAGACAGTACACACACTCAAAAACTTTGTCATATAGCTACCATTTTGCCTTGACTGTTACCCCAAAACAATTTGTAAGGTACAGAATTAATTTGTTCATAATGTATTGATACTGCAAATATACACATGTGTGATACATATAAAGCTCTTGCTGGCACCAGTCACACAGGTGTGTTTTGGTCTGTAATTGTCAATTGTGAATTTAATTGACACTTCTTTAATAGAGAAAGGGCGAATAGTGATATTAAAATATGTCTTCTAGTTCAGTGTGCATGAATCTGTGCACTGGGCCACTAGTTAAATATAATTAGATGACTTTTTAATTAAGTTTTTATTTTATTTTAGTTATAGGTCTGACGGTACCAAAAAAGATCCCCTTATGATCAATTCTATGGTAAGTACTTTCTATGAAATACTGGTATAGTGTGGAAAACTTGTATTTTTTCCCCCACTCACGTTGGTCTGATAAAATTACAAAGCTATTTTAGTCTCAGCAGCCTCTTCTCATGCAGTTCTTGCTTTGAATAAATAAATAAATAAATAAAGTTGTGTTCGTTTGTAGTTTTAATCAGGAGTCTGTTCAACTTTTAGTATTCAATTTTGGTTTTGCTTAGCAAGCCCCATCATCTTTGAGAATATAGTCACAGTGAAATGAAACCATTATATTTCCTAAATATACCTCCATTTCTTGTGTGACTCACTAGCATCCACTTCTCATGACCTCCTTTTAAAATGAAGTGAAATGCTCATTGACTATTTTTCCTGGAGGACATGCTCTTGTGCATTACTTGAGCACATTTTTAGAACTTTCTATAAATGTATCTCAAGAGAATAGTCGTTGCTTTAACAACAGTATTTTCATGTGTTTCTTTAGAAAGCAGTGAAGTGCAACCTGTCTACATAAAAGCAGTGTCTCACTGCAGTCCCTCTCTGTACCATCTCTGTGATGTTAGTGCTATGAGTGCTGTACATGGGAAGAAATTTCCTGACTTCTGTTTCTTGACGAATTAAAATGTCCATGAGACTTAAAGAGTGTTTCTTAACCTTTCACAATCAAGAACCCCAGTTGATGTCTATTCCCACCTCCATATTTTAAAATAAGTTTTGAAAAAATGCCATTTCTGTAACTGCCAGTCAGTGCTTCTGAATGGCATGCAATAGCCAGTGTTATCAGCATCACTAAGTTATTTCAGTCATAAACTAAACCTAATAAGCATTTTATTTAGCTTGTGCAACTTTTATCACGGGAAGGCAAAAATATTAGTTTTGAAATTTTATAACAATTCTTGGACTCCCCATTACTGTTTTCTTGGCCTTGCAGATTGGAAACCAGTAATTTTTTGTTGTTGTTGGTTTTGTTTTTTTAACTATCATGGGACTTATAGAATATTAAAATTGGCTAGGCCTGGAGAATTTATTGGAATGCTTCCATTTTACAGTGGAAGAAACTTATACCCTGAAAAAACCAAATAGAATGGCCAACCTGGAGTGAAACCCAAGTCACATGGGTTCCAATCCACTGTTCTTTGCTGCGTGCAAACTGCATGGTGTTTTTTTGTTGTTGTTGTTGTTTTTTGTTTTTTTGGTCAAGCTTCAGCTAGGCAATTGGGTCTTCCTCTGTAAGAAATGTCTTTGTATTTAAGAGTCAGTTAAATTAATGGAGAAGAATTAAGACTGACATGTAGTGTTTTCAGTTATAGGTAGAGACTAGGGTTGGGGTTCCCACTGAGACTGCTGGCATGTGATTGATGTAGGTATTTGTAGTGGATGCAGATGTTTGTCTGGGTTGTTTGTCATAGTTTCTCTGACCTTCAAAAACCTGTTGTTGGTTAGTTTAGAATTTGAATATTTGAAGCTAAGAAAGGATAACAAGAAACTTTTTAGTATTTTGATTTCCCCCCCTTTACCTTCTCTTTCTCCCTCCTCTCTCTCAGAGCTGGGGTGCAGAAGGCTATCACCTATGGGTAATCAGCGGATTTGGTTCTCAAAATACTGAACTTGAGTCTGAGCCCAAGAGTATAGTTAAACAGCCTGGCATTCTGCTATTTCAGTTTATCAAGAGTGCACTCACCGTAAACCCTTGTATGGTAAGTTTATTTAATTAAAATTGTTTTGGGGGTGTCTTTTTTAGTGGCTTTCATATTAGAATCAGATTTTTCCTATGACACACATGTGTTGAGTATACTCTTAAAATTGGCATATTCTTTTGTATATTTTCTGTGATTCTGTATTGTGTTTTTTAATTTCTATTAAATTTACACCAAAATTTTATTTTTGATGTGTTGTTTTTTAAAAAAAGAAAGGATCACAAGCAACTTGAGGAAAAGCAGTGTTTACTGATTTACTTAAATAACTTGAATAAAATTTAGTCTTTATCTGAGTAGCATTTCCCAAAGTGTGTTCCAGCAGGCTTTATGAGAAATATCCTTAGCAATTACATAGAATAAGAAACGTGTTATGTTCTGTATGAAATAAGGGAGTTAAAGCTGTAGAGATTTCTTCCTTGTATGTCTCCAGGGCCTTCCCATGCTAGTATGCATTATGAAAGTCCAGGAGCTGGTGTATAAAAACCAGAGTTTCCCAAGCTTATGTAACTGAAATTTTAAGGAATACCTTGAAAAAAATATGTCTAGGAATCTGTTTGGGAAAATATTGCCCCAAATTATAATGTAAACTCCTCATGTTCTACCAATCTGAAGTAATATATATTAATATTATATATTGTTAATATGTAACAATAGTATATGTTACATGTTAGGAGTGCCTTCTAAATATCTGCCACCAATGGGTTTTAAAATATTTGGTGCAGCTAAAATTTACAACACATTGATAAAGAATGTGGAAATAGCCTGAATCTTTTATCTTATTATAGTTGAAGAATAAGGATGCCCAGAAAAACTAAAATAGATTATTTCTTATTCTCCACATCCCAAATAATAATTTAAAAGCACCCTTGAGCTTTATGTCAGAACATTTGTACTACATTGGGACAGTGAGGATCTCTGGGCACTAATCTGTCTGATTTGAATAGCCACTAAAGAACTTTGCCTGTGTTTCCTGGCCTTCTGATTGAAAACCAGGGCATTGTCATTAAGAAAAGAAACTGTCTTATTTGTCTAAATATCCTCGGAACTTGGCACAGTCCTTGGCACTAACCAAGCATTTTCCCATGTGATCACTGAATTGTTCCAAACCAGGACCAGGGACTTAGCCTGTCCTTCCTCCTCCCATGGCTTAAAGGTCCTCCAGCATCATGTTATCCCCTTCCCAACCCACCCCTTCCTGCCATGTGGACATGAGTGAGCACATACACAAGCTGTTCAACCAGACATGTTCTCTTACCACCATTCATGAGGCATTTTATGTGAAACTAACTTGTAAACTTAGATAATGAGTAGTTAGGTTTAGTTTTCAGATGGACAGTCCCATAGCATTGCCATGCTGGAGTAGTAATCAAAAATACTGCTATAGCAGTTGCAAACCTGGGCATGTTTTAGAATCTATATGATAAAAAGACTTTAAAATTTCATCTACACTGGGAATTAAGCATTGAAATATAACAGTACATTGGATCATTTTGTAGTCGTGTCTTCTGTGAGGAAAATCACCATTAAGATATATGGTACATTTCCTGTAATAAAACTAAATTTATGTACTTACTTTCCCCTACCTAACACTGAGTTGTTATATTTCCTTCTTTGCCCTGCTGCTGCTTTGTTCCCTCATCTAGAGTAACCAAGAGCAGGTGTTGCTTCAAGGGGAAGATCGATTGTACTTGAACTGTGGAGAGGCCTCACAAACCCAGAACCCCAGGAGTTCTTCTGTTCACTATAAGCCCAGCTCTTTGGCAGAGGGCGGTTTTGAGTCTCAGGGTTTAAGCACTTTACTCGGACATCGACATTGGCATGTGGTCCAAGTAAGTCTTCATTGGCTGTTGACTTAGTCCTTGGTAAGACAGCACCTGGAGCAGATTTTTAAATATTTCCTCTGCTGCTTTAGAAAACAATCTTTTTTGACTGTCATGTCTCTCTCTTGCTTTTCCATGTCCTTGTTTTCTTGTCTTCTGCTTCCTTTCTTTCCACTTGATGTAGAGCATATTACCACCTGCTTTAAGTCATTTAATAGTAAGCAGTTTCAAAAATAGGAAGTTTATGTTTTGCCCTCTTACTGAGGCAAACTTTTATTTCCAAACTTTTTTGGGTATATAAATTTAGCTCTGTAAATTTGCATAGACAAAAATGTAGTAATTTCATGGAAACTAACAATATTGATTAGTACCCTGTGCAGCAGTTGGCCTTGTAGTCGTAATTGGGATATATTGAGGTTAATTGTTTGACTTTAAACCAAATTTTCAGAGTTCTGGTCAGTGTAAAATTTTATTGTTAATAATTTTGTTATTATTTAATCTTGTTCTAAATTACTCATTCTACAACTTTAAATTAGCAGTTTCTTATAGTAATTCTGATAAATTAGCATTTAATATGAAAATTTTGATACCAAATAAAATTAATTTAGTTTAATCAATAAGTTGAAGTTTCTTAAAAGAAACTTTAATATACAGTTTCAGTCCTGAGTGTGTTCTTTCACCTTTTGATATCAAAATGCCTTAGGTACATCAGTGCCTACTCTTGGGTTATGGTTTTAGTCAGTTTCTCTTTGCACAGTTCTTTGCCTTCTATATTCTTCACTTTTCCCTCACTAGCTTATTTCAGCTCCCATGTCACTTTCAGTTGGCTCTGAATAGAGATAATAAGAGACAGAAGAATGGTCATTAGGTGAAAAATTGAAGGAAGAAAATCTACATTGATGTGGTATACACTAAAATGTCAAGTGTATTTAACTTACATTAATAAATTCATAAAATCAAACAATGTGCATACCATTTTATAATTAGTAACATTTTTAAATAAAATTGCATCAGCTACTTCCTTGACTAAAATTTTCCACTGCTCCCTTCTCTCCTATAGCCATTTCTCTGCTATTTTCATTTCCCCATACTTTGAACTATTCATTCTACACTGACCTAGCATCAATGCCAGTTCTGCCTAGCCAGGTCTGTGTTGCCAGAGAGCCAAGTAGAGCAGAGGATCAAAGAAGGTAGGTCTGGAACTCAAAATCCCTCAGGCAATAACAAAAATTGAATTTCCTTCCAGCTCAAAAATTCAGTGATTCTTAACCATCTATGAAGTATCCCATATTAGAATCCTATAACACTAATTTTACAAAACTTTAGACTAGGTACTAGCAAGATTCTTCTGTCATTCTGTTCTTCAAATATCTACAGTATTTGGAAAAATGAACTCGAACTCTAGCTTTACCTAATTTATTTCAATTCCTTAACACTAATGAAAATAATGCAGGGTTGTATTCCCACAACAATTAAGTGACAATAGACTCATAGAATTTTTAGAGCTGGGAGGACCTCAGAGATCATGTAGTCCAACTGGATTTTATACATGAGGAGACTGAGGCTCAGGGAAGTTAGGTGAGTTGCCCAAGGTCACACAGCAGAGTAGTGTCAGACTTATTCTTACCATAATGTAAGCTAAAGTAATAGTCTCTAACCTATTTCAAAACCTCCATACTAAATATTGAATCATGTAATATGCTGCTGACCTTGAGCTAAAACCTAGAATGTGCCTTTTTGGCAATGTTTTTACTGGATTTATCATGTATTTTGTTTGCTGGCACTCCAGCTGCATGAGTCAGTGCAGTATGGTGATGTTTTGGTGGGGTGTTTTAGTGTTCATGTAATTTGATGCTTTACTTTTCATGTCCTTAGCCATTAGTAATGATTTTTCTGAAGAAACAAGTCAAGACAACATTCCCCACTTCAGTACATGATCTTTTCTAGGATAAGTGCCCACATAGACCATCAAAGTGGCTTTGTTTGTATGCTTTTTGTACAGCTAGAGTTCATCAAATAAGCTCCAGCTAATTCTGCCGCTCTGTCTGTTCCTCATCTAGATTACTGGGTGTTTTGTTTAAGTTTTCTCCCTTGCGTTTGTTAGTTTCCTGATCAGAAGATTCTATGTTATGTTTTTTCCTTTAACTAAAACATCTCAGATACTTATAAGAAGCAGCGTTAGTAGTTGCTGGTAGAGATGGTGTTTGTTTGTTTGTTTTAACTCAGTTTCCCTAGCTACACATTTTTTAAAAATTCGGAAGTAGTTTGTTGAGAGATGGAGCACAAATTAAAAAAAATAAAATATGAAATTAAAAACACAACAGTATGCTTGTGGTATTAGGGTATGTTCCTTCTTTGATTGCCCTTTATTTTAATACTCAGCATTTTGTGTAATATAAATGTTTATTTCTGAAAGGTGCACGAATCATTACCATCCAGTGCTGAAATGTTGGTTTTCTAGTTAACCTGGCTATTTAGAGAGTAAGTTTCATGAAATGTGGGAGATAAAACACAGTGTGTTAAGCATGTCAGCAGCGAGGATTCTATTACAAATGAGTTACTATTTACAAATGAGTTACTCTCATTCCTAGGCACCATGTGTGGTGGTGGCACAGATGAAATCTTCTAGGAAGAAGGCTCTCACAGTCTCACAGTTATAGGCAGAAGTGGGTGTAGGCAGGAGACAGGGTTTTAGCAGAATGACTTTAAGAGAAAAAAATATTTTGAGACTGAAGAGAACCCTAAGAAGTTAGGAGTAGAGAGTCTGTACCCCAGCACTCAGTTTTCTCAGTGGTCTGGCATGGCTTTGAGCCTGACTATGGAATCCTGACCTGAGTTCCTGCAGTATTTATTAGCTGCTGCTTTTCCTTCTGCCATTTCTTGTTCTCAGTATTACGGGCAGAGCTCAAAGTTCAGGTGGCACAGATCAGTAAAGGTGACCTATTGGAGTAAAAATAAAAGTTTTTATTATTTTATGGCATCTTCAGATACAAAACTACTTGGTTAGTAAAGCACTTTGAAAATAAACCGTTTGTGGCACCTCAGACTTTCGGGGGTTAAAAGAATAAATTGTTTCTTCTTACCGATGTCCATCAGTGTGAGATCATATAAGATTTAACCTAGGTTCCCATGATTAGAAACTCCTTGTGTTGGCACCCACCTCTCCTCCTACCCACCAACACATTTCATAAATGCTTATGAAACACCCCTTTGGGGAAAGGGGTTCTTTTTAGTGTCATGGGTGGCTGGCCCAGTTATACTCCAGATACATCCTTCGGGTGACTGTTTTCATCATCCAGAAAAGAAAAGAATTTTGCTTACAGCCTCCTACAACACTGCTTTCATCTTTTATTTTGCCACCTGTTCATGACCTTAGGTTATCATTATTCTGAATTAATTTCACCCATCAAGTGAGTTTTATTATTAGCCTGAAAAAATATGGCATATCTATTAAGATACAAGTTAAGCATTCTTCAAGCATATATTGTGACACTGTTTATCTTTAATTCCAGCACTGGAGTTAAATTTTTCTAATGTACAAACAGCTAGTAATTTATTTAGAATATAGGTTGGCTTACTAGATAACAAGTAAAGTCTAACAAATGGTTTTATAATAAACTTTGTCCAGGTTAATGCAGATGTTTTCAGCTATTATTTTTTACTTGGTTTTGTTTTATCTTCATATCATGCAAAGAATTCCACTGGATTTGATAACATTTTCCTGACTTTTTAATTTGGCTTTCTTTTTTTGAATATGTAATACTTTTTCTTGGAGTAAAATAAATATAAATTTAAATAAATTTAAGATTCTCTTATTCCAAGATCAGAATATTCTTTCCTTGTTCTCTCGTTCTGTTAATTTTCACTCCACATTGACCACATGTTCATGAAAATGACAACTAGTAGGTTAGTAAAAAAAAAATCGGTCTCTGTAAAGCTGTAATCTATTTAATCTACATTGATAGCTCTTAGAGAATTCGTTAAGTGTAAAATTCTTGTTGGAGTGATACAAAGACTCCATGTACACAGATGTCAGACAGACGACATGAGGAGGCACTTTTACTCTTTAGGGTGCAGACAAAGAGTTAATATAGATAATATAAAAGTTCCTATAAATGACACCTCAATAAAAGTAATAGCTTATACACAATATTACATGTACATGGATTAAATTTAGAGATAGAGTAAGAACTACCCAGTAGTTAGCCCTGAGCAGTGATGTTACAGGAGCAATTTCATTTTGTACTTTGTACATTTTTATATTGTTTAATTTTTTAAATTTTTATAAGCATGCATTGCTTTTCTATTCAGAAATGAAAAAATATAAAAATAATAAAAGCTCTTGCAGGAGCTCTGGTTTTATTAGGTAAGGTTGTTTTTGAGGATAGTTCTGATCAGCAAGCCCAAACTGTAGATAACATCTACACAGTGCTTGGCGGCCCTGTGGGTGCATCTCTAAAAATCTTTTGTCAGTTCGTGTTTGCTGTGTATTGAATATTTAAAACAAAGAAAAACTGTAGAGAAAATAATAAAGAAAAGCCTGGTGTCTAGAAACTTCGAATGAAATAACTAAGAGAGAAGATGTGAAATATTGGCTGGTATACAAATGGTAAATGCCAAGTACTCTGCCAGTAATACCCATATTTGGACACTCTTTAAACATTGTATGAGAAAATGAATCATATTGTGACATTAATGCTTTAAGGTTTAAATTCATTTCATAAGTCTTACCAAACTAATGTGTTATTTTCTTCAGATTTCCAGCACCTACCTAGAGAGCAATTGGCCTATACGGGTAAGTTATTTTATTGGTGTTAACTTTCATTGGATAGCATTTGCTATTAAGAGGCATTCTGGGAATTGAGCCTTTCAATGAGTGCATTAATAAAAGTAAAGATTTTAATACTCGATCCTTTTTACGCTGTTAGTTTATAACAACTATAACTTAGTTAAATGTAAGTTGTATATAAATATACTAGTTGTATATAAATATCTATAATTTAGTTAAATGTAAGTTGTATATAAATATACGAAATTCATGCACGGGGGAGAGGGGTGTCCTTCAGCCCAGCGCCCTCTCACAATCCAGGACTGCTGGCTCCCAAACGCTCACTTGCCTGCCAGCCTGATCACCCCTTAACCACTCCCCTGCCAGCCTGATCGTTGCCAAACTGCTCCCCTTTCAGACCAATTGATCCTAACTGCCCTCCTCTGCCAGACTGGTCACCTCCAACTGCCCTCCCCTACAGGCCTGGTCGCCCCCAACTACCCTTCCTTTCTGGCCCTGCCACTCCTAACTGCCCTCCCCTGAAGGCCTGGCCCCTCCCATTTGCTCTTTCGTGCAGGCCTGGCCCCTCCCATTTGCCCTCCCCTGAAGGCCTGGTCACCCTCAACTGCCCTCCCCTGCAGGCCTGCCCCCCCCAATCTGACCTCCCTGTAGGCCTGGCCCCCCCTCTCCTCAACTGTCCTCCCTGCAGGCCTGATCACCCCCAACTGCCCTCCCTTGCAGGCCTGATGTCCCTCAACTGCCCTCCCCTGATGGCCATCTTGTGGTGGCCATCTTGTGTGTTGGAATGATGGTCATTTTGCATATTACCTCTTTATTATATAGGATAAAACTTTAAATTTTACATTTAGTATATTATTCTTTTCCTGGTGCAATACTAAGCTCTTTATATCTAATAAAGAATATAAGTTTGTAAGGAAGAGTTTTTAATTATTATTCTTTAATCAGTTTTCAGCTATTGATAAGTTTGGACAGAATATTGCTGTGGTTGGCAAGTTTGGTTTTGCACATTACTCTTTAATCACCAAAAAATGGAAACTTTTTGGAAACATTACCCAGGTTAGTCTTTTTTAAATTAAAAATTGACTTCTTAAAGTAAAAGAAGACTTCAGTATAAAATAACTACAATGTATCACTGATTGCTTATTTAGAAATAAAATCAAATATTAACTGATGTTGGATTATGTATGAGTCAATTCTCATAAAGTATTTGATACTTGATGAAGGATTTTGTGTTGAGATAGTTTGTCTTTCATTTTCTTTAATATCAGAGACTATAACTTTTTAAATTGAGGATTTACTTTTACATTCCAACTTGAGTTCATCTGATATAATCAGGATATATTTCCACAAAATTTGAGATCATTTTTCTGTTGGTCTTGTGTGCATGTAATAGGAATATTTGGGTAGCATACAAACAAATGCAGTTGAATTTTGCATGAATCAAATAGGAAATTAATATTTAAAGGGTGTCTACCATGTATCAGGTACTTTAAGATGCTTTCATATATGTTAGTCCATTGATCTTCATATCAACCCATTGAGAGCACTATTGTTACTTACCATTTTATAGAAGAAATTAGGATTCAGAATGAAGCAGCTGATAAATGATAAAGCCAGGGTCTTTGAATGTGCGAATAATGATGCTGCATTATTCCCATTATTTTGAATGATGTATTTTCTGTCTTACAGAAATGTTTATTTTCAATAGAATATGAATCAGTAATAAAGGCCCTAAGTAATGCTTAATTGGAAATATCAGACTAGAACAGAAATAACTTCAGTTTTCATTATTTGTTTAGAATATGTTATTAGTGCATTAATGTAATTTCTGGCAGCATAAAGGTAATTTTTCTTTTTTCTTTTAAGGAGCAAAATATGATTGTGACAGGTGGCTTAGCCTGGTGGAATGATTTTATTGTCCTTGCATGTTATAACATAAGTGACCGTCAAGAAGAAGTAAGTTTTTTTCTCTCAAAAATAGCATTGTTTTATTTTTAAAGATACTAATCACTATTTTGTTTTATATGAAAACTAGTGGCCCAGTGCACAAAATTTGTGCACCAGGGTGGGGGGGGGGTGTCCCTCAGCCTGGCCAGCACCCTCTCCAGTCTGGGACCCCTCAGGGCCACAGGGATCAGGTCTAAACTGGCTGCTGGACATCCCTCTTGCAATCCAGGACCGCTGGCTCCTAACCGCTCACCTGCTTGCCTGCCTGATTGCCCCTAACCACTCTGCCTGCCAGCCTGATCACCCCCAACTGCTCCCCTGCTGGCCCGATCACCCTAATGACTTCTTGCCTTGGCCCACCATCGTGGCTTTGTCTGGAAGGACATCTGGAAGGTCTCCCGGTCTAATTAGCATATTACCCTTTTTTTTGGATAGATAATTTATTGGAAAATAAATAAATCTTTATTTTTTATAGGGGATTTTCACTTCAGGTTACTACTTTTTTTTTAATTATATAATTTAATGTAATGACATTTATACACTAAGAATCACCAAAGTTGAGATAACAAATATATCCATTACCCCTAAAAGTTTCCTTTGGGTTTCTTATAATTTTTCCTCCTGACCCACATTCCCAACTACAATTTCCCATCATCTCATTCTCTGGCAACCTTGTACCTTATACTTTGGATTAGTTTACATTTTTCTAGAAATTTTTATAAATAGAATCATACTTCTTTTTTTTTTTTTTTTGGTCTTCTTTCACTCAATTATTTTGAGATTCCTTGATATTGTTGGAATTTATCAATAGTGTTTTCTTTATCAGGTTACCACTTTAAAAAAAAATTAAAGGAATAATAAGGAGTTCTAGATAACTTTTTTTAGTGATTTTTATCTGTTAGACATTCTCTATAAAGTTTGTAAAAAGTTAAAAAATAAAAGAAGAAAAGTTTGTAAGGGTTGTTTATTAACTTGTATGTTTATTTTTGAGAAATTGTTGAGTCATGTCTAAATATTCAAATCTAAAAGGAGTATCATAATAGTACAGTCTTAGTTTTGATCACTTCGTCTTTTGATTTGTAGAATGAACCTTCCCTGTCAAAATATAAACATCCATTTATTATTCATTCCTTTTAACTCCTTTGATTTGAAAAACATCAGTAGATAAAGAGCATGAATTTAGGCATCTCTAGTAGGCATCTTGTTTTTCCAATTTTTTTTATTTCTGTTTTCTGCAGCTCAGAGTTTACTTGCGAACATCGAATCTGGACAATGCCTTTGCTCACGTCACCAAGGCACAAGCAGAGACCTTACTGCTTAGTGTCTTCCGGGATATGGTGGTAGTGTTTAGAGCTGACTGCTCAATATGCCTTTACAGTATTGAGAGGAAGTCTGAGGGGTAAGTCCAGAGCATGTGACAGTCACTCTTTGCTCCTGTGTATCATGTTTCCTCTAGTTTTTATTTTATTTTAATATATTTTTATTCATTTCAGAGAGGAAGGAAGAGGGAGAGAGATAGAAACATCAATGAGGAGAGAGAATCATTGATTGGCTGCCTCCTGCACGCCCCCTACTGGCCCCACAACCTGAGGCATGTGCCCTTGACTTGAATCAAACCTGGGACCTTTTGGTCTGCAGGCTGATGCTCTATCCACTGAGCCAAACCAGCTAGGGCTGTAATTTTTATTTTTTAAAAGCTACCCCTAATTTCATATTTAGTGGGGGTTTTGTTTGTTTTAGGAGTTTTAAAAACAAGGCATTTTAATTGATGATAGTCATACAGCATTTTTTAGCTATCAAAGTAAGTAAATAAATAAATAAGCCTGCACTAACTTCTTCAGGTAATTTTACTGGATTCATTTGGGGAAAAAAATACTAGTTTGGGATGGGGTAAACCTTTCAGATACTAATTTTTTCACAACCTTAAAAACGAGTGGTCAGTCACTACCCAAGTATCCCAGACACCCGGGGAAAGTATTAGGAAGCATGTCCTCAGCAGATGCATCTTTTCCACTGAGCTGGTTGCTGTGGTCTGGGCAGGAGAAGCGGGCAGTCCTATCGCTGCTGTGTGTTGCCTGCATTCCTCTTGGCATCTGGTTGGCTTGCAGCATTTAGATCATGCCTCTTGAGTTTAGTTTTGCTCTCAGGTTTTTTATTTGTTTGTTTCTTTTTTTAAGCAGCCATGAAGTGTGTATTTGGTAAAGTAGCATAATGATTGAGGAGTAATGTAAAGATAAAAATTAAGAAATCTTACTAGTCTAGATAGAACTATAACCAACTAAACTGTTCTTATACATTCTTCCCTAGCTTTTCTTCCCTTTTACATATTTCCTTTCTTTCTCCCTCGTCTCCCTGTGGATGCCTCAACCTTGTCAGTCTGCTGCTTACTAATAAAGGATACTCGGGAAGAGGGAACAAGAGGTAGAAGGCATTTGGGTCTCCATAGCATGGAATCTAATACCTTTAGTAGCGGGGTGTGGAGGAGCAACCTTGCTAGCATTGTTTTTGAAGTGTGTGGGTTTCTTTTTTGTTGTTTCAGTCCAAATACTACTGCTGGTATCCAAGTTCTTCAGGAAGTCTCCATGTCACGCTACATTCCTCACCCTTTCCTGGTAGTATCTGTCACTCTGACATCAGTGAGTACAGAGAATGGAATCACCTTGAAAATGCCACAGCAGGTACCATTCTGTTATGCGCTCTTTAGAATTGTCATCTCAGTTTCTTGTTTTTTAAGTTGATATTGGAAACTGTTTATTTGTTCACTAAATAAATACTGTCTAGTATATGCTTTATATGTAGATGCTGAGTTATAGTGACAAGCTAAATATGGAAATTACAATAAATAAATCAGCAATAAATAAGTAATTACACCCGAAACCGGTTTGGCTCGGTGGATAGAATGTCGGCCTGCAGACTGAAGGGTCCCAGGTTCAATTCCTGTCAAGGGCATGTACCTTGGTTGCAGGACATACCTTTCCCACCTACCCATGTATGTCTTCCTCATGCTTCAAGCCTTTTCTAGCTATGCCACCTAGATCACTGAATTGAACTTTCATTTTTATGAACTTCTGAAGATCTCTTAGTTTTTGCAAGATGATTCATTTGCATGTTCATTAGTTACATTGTGTTAGGCACTTCCTACCCTAGTCAGAAAGCTTCTTGTACATACCCACAGAGCCTAACAGAATGGCTACACAGGGTACACACTCAATAAATATTGTTGGTCGTTTAAACTGTAAACCTTAGGGGTTGGGGAGAAAATACTGAAAACATACCAATTTCTTTTTCTTCAGGCTCGTGATGCAGAAAGCATTATGCTGAATCTTGCAGGGCAGCTCATCATGATGCAGAGGGACCGCTCAGGCCCACAGATCCGGGAGAAGGACAGTAACCCGAACCAGAGGAAACTGGTGAGTGAATGCACATAGTCTAGAACGTTAAGAATGTATGGCATCAGGATGAGGAAATAAAATGATTTAAGAAGAGAGTATTGTCTTGTGATTTGGACACTAAGAAAGTACATGAAATTAGTCTTAAGCCTCAGGGTATAAAACAATTTATAAAGGTTGAAGGATAAGGTCCTGAAATAAGAAGAAAATGTTATTGCTTAGGCTGAATTTACAAGTTCTAATGGAAAATAGTATAAACTGGTGATGTTCATAGGTTTTGGTTTTTAGGTTTAAATACACATATTCTGAAAGGCCAGGGGACTATTATTAACTCTAATTTAAATAAGTTACCATAATTTTCCTAAAAAGTTGTACTCGCATTTTGAAAGTCTTAGGAAATTAGTGTCTAGGGACTTAACCTACAGATTTAATAGGAAAAAACAACCTTATTCTTGTCTCCTTTTCCAGCTGCCATTCTGTCCTCCTGTCGTACTAGCTCAGTCTGTTGAAAATGTATGGACTACGTGTCGAGCAAATAAACAAAAGCGGCACCTTCTGGAGGCCCTCTGGCTGAGCTGCGGAGGGGCAGGGATGAAAGTGTGGCTCCCTCTCTTCCCCAGGGACCACCGCAAGCCCCATTCCTTCTTGTCCCAGCGGATCATGCTGCCTTTCCACATCAACATTTACCCGCTGGCGGTTCTGTTTGAAGACGCGTTAGTCCTTGGTGCTGTCAATGACACTGTGCTCTATGACTCTCTGTACACTCGGAGCAGCGCTAGGGAGCAGCTGGAGGTGCTCTTCCCCTTCTGCGTCGTGGAGAGGACCTCGCAGATCTACCTCCACCACATCCTCCGTCAGCTGCTGGTCAGGAACCTTGGGGAGCAGGCCTTGCTCCTGGCCCAGTCCTGCTCCACGTTACCCTACTTCCCCCACGTGCTGGAGCTCATGCTCCACGAAGTGCTGGAGGAGGAAGCTACCTCACGGGAGCCCATTCCCGACCCTCTGCTTCCCACGGTGGCCAAGTTTATCACCGAGTTCCCCCTCTTCCTGCAGACTGTTGTGCATTGTGCCAGGAAGACCGAGTATGCCCTGTGGAACTACCTTTTTGCAGCCGTCGGAAACCCCAAGGACTTGTTTGAGGAATGTTTGATGGCTCAGGATTTGGACACAGCTGCCTCTTACCTTATTATCTTACAGGTAACAGTTCTCTTCTTACAAAGGTATAAGAATTAATGATTTTAAACTGTGATTGTACTTAAGGAATTAATTCAATCCTGTTTTCTGTTCAATTTATATTTTTTCTTTTGAAGAATTTTTTTTTTTTATCAAATAACAAAACGTTTTTGAATATTAAAAAGGAACATTGCAGGGTTTTTTAATTGTATTTATTTTCAGAGAGAGAGGAAGGGACACAGAGAAACATCATGTTATTCCACTTATTTATGCATTCATTGCTTGATAGTAACATTATAGAGTTTTAAAAATCCTGTTTGTCCATAAATAGGCCTAAAACAGACTGATGAGTTTATAATATTTTGAATAATACTGAAGAAATGTCATATGTATTATAGTACATATAACATGAATATTACTGGGTTTGTCTGAGCCGCCCCAGCTTAATAGGTATTTCCTTGTGATGTGGACTTGATGCGGGGACTCTGGTTAGAGACTGGGTTCTAACAGAGCACCTTATATGAGGCTCCCACGGTGAGTTAAGAGGTCTCAGGCCTGCCACAGTAATTACTGTCTTTGCAATTCTCAAAATAATATGTTCTCTGAAACTCTAAAAAATTTGCTTCATTATATATTTCACAAGGCTGCTTGATAGTTGTTGTTCCTGTGTGTCTGATGTAAAATTTTATTGATTGCAAAGTTCTGTTGCTGATGTAAGAAGCTAACCATAAACCTGGTTTCAGACTGCCTGAAGCAGATTTCCTGTCTCCAATCAACTGTCAGATTTCCTGACAGCTGATTGAAACCAGAAATATTCCAGCAGAGTATCTGCTGGACGGCCATGACATTCTGATTCTTTGATTAATCTTAAAGAGCCACAGAATCATAAAAATAGAAACAAGTTAATGCAGCCATTTGTTGTTGTTTTTTTAGGTCACACCTTAGACTTTCAGTGATCTCTGAAGCAATGAAATGGAAACTTTTGTTCTATCCGAATTCCTAAGTTGCTGTGGACTAATTACAGTTAAACTTGTCTATTAATCACCTTTCCGTGAAGGTCAAAGCAGGCAGGAAGGTTAAGTTTGTGGAAGAGCCCTACCATGGGGGTCAGTTGATTTCTCGTGTTGTCCCGTACATGAGAGGTTTGCAGGTTTGACTCCCGGTCAGGGCACATACTCAGGCTGCAGGTTCAGTCTCCAGTTGGGGCAAGTACAGGAGGCAATCGATCCATGTCACTCAAGTCAATGTTTTTCTTGCTCTCTCTTTCCCTTCCTTTTTCTCTAAAATCAATAAACATATCCTTGGGTGAGGATAACAAATTTGTGAAAGAATTATTTAGGGTGCTGTTTGTGTAACCGTACTACATACTATTGCCCAAAGCAACGATTTTAAGTCCCATCCTCAGAAATCTGTCCCAGGAGACAGACCTGGGCTTTTTTTGGAGTCTGGCAAATCTAGATTTTTATTCTTGTTTCAAGTTACTTAACTCAGTTTCCTCATCTGTAAAATAGGAATGATGTACCTATTTTGCCTATTCACTATGGGAAATGAAAGAGTGTGTGTGAGTTTTATATAACGATCTGGCATATAGTGGAGTTCAGTAATCACAATATGCACCTCAGCTTTTCTTGTCTGATATTTCTGGTGCTCCTTTAATTTTACTGCTAACCTGTCCCCTGCAGGGTTGCAGCTTCATTTCTCCTCTGGGTTTAGGGAACCATGGAGATAAAGAGTTGCTCATAGTTTCCCAAATTATTTGCAGTATAAAAGGAATGCTTGTCTTCCTTGGTTGTTTTTGTAGAATATGGAAGTCCCAGCAGTAAGCAGGCAACATGCCACACTTCTGTTCAACACAGCCCTGGAGCAAGGCAAGTGGGACTTATGTCGGCACATGATTCGATTTCTTAAAGCCATTGGCTCTGGAGAATCTGAGACGCCTCCATCCACACCTACAGCTCAGGTTAGTTGCAAATAGGGCAGCTTCTCTGGGCACGTACCCACATGGCACCCGCTCTAACCGCGCCGCACGTTGTGTGCACTCCCAGGAACCCAGTTCAAGCGGAGGATTTGAGTTCTTCAGGAATCGCAGCATCAGTTTGTCCCAGTCCGCTGACAACGTACCTGCCAGTAAATTCAGCTTACAGAAAACACTAAGTATGCCATCTGGGCCTTCGGGGAAAAGGTAAAAGGATGAAAAACTGTTATGCTTTTAGGGTGTTGAGTGACACAGTGCATTTCAGGGCATTTGTATAAGCAGATCTCAGGAAAATAACTACTTGATCTACTGGCATTTCCTTTTGCAATTCTCAAAAATCTTCACTTCTTCTTCCATAGTTCACTTCTACAGTTTCTGCCCCTCGTTTTAGAGTAGGTCTCGATATACCTGTTCTGAATGTAATTAACTTTAAATTACTTGATTATAGGATAAAAAGGAAGATGATAAAACTGCAGGTAATCCAAAAGCCTTCCTACAGTCACCAGTTTTATCTTCCTTTCCAACTGTACCTCTTGACAAAAAAAAAAATAAAATTCAGTCCTCAAATGCTTGACTCTCCTGTGACTTTGACTGGAGAAATCATTAAAACAGTGGGAGAGCAACAAGGAATTGCATCTGGAGATGGAAACCTCCATCCCCCATGCGTGGGCTATTGCTTCTGAGAGGTCAGCTACGGGCTCACACTGAATATTATAAAATAGAATTTCCCCATTTGTGAGGCCCATATTCCTTCTTGTGTTGCATATTCTTGGCTCCTGTTTTTTTTGTGTGTTTTTTTTCCTCTTCCCTAATCCTTTCATAATGTTCGCATTGTGTCTGCAGTGCCTGGCACATAAAGCTTACTGAACTTTTTTTTTATTGTGATGTTTAACTGCTTTTATCACAGCCATTAATATCACTCCCACTTGCAACATACACACAATCTTGGGCTTTATACCCGTGAAATGCAACCTATAAACTGTTGTCAGGCAAACAGAAGCTTCTCAGCCATACTCTGAACTTAAATCCTAATGCAGATTCAGTGCTCACTGTGTGCTAAGCATGGTTCTGGCATTTACATGTGTAGGTTTTAATTCTTTCAACAACTAATGAACCTAAGGGTACATAGGGTAGGTACTGTTGTTACCCACATGATTCAGGTGAAGAAACAGAGGTCCAGAAAATTAACTTGGTTATGGTCACACAACTGAGTGCAGAGCTGAGACTTATGTCCGTGCTGCCTGCTCCAGTGCTGCCTCTCTCCAGAAGCACCACATACCGCTACAGACCAGGTGGGCACACCAGCGCCCATGAGCAAGGGATGATAGACTGGATTTGATGAAGTCATTAATTTTTTAAAATTATTTTTATTTGTATTTTTTACATAACTACATAACTCACATTAAGAGACTTCATTTCACTTTTTCTTCTCATTACCTCCCTATCAGCACACTCAGTGCCACTATGTAAAAGTATGTGAAGTCTTCCAGTAAAGATTTTCTATAGCTTCCTTGTGTTCACACTTACAGATGGAGTAAAGACAGTGACTGTGCGGAAAACATGTATATTGACATGATGCTCTGGAGACATGCTCGGCGTCTCTTAGAAGAAGTTCGGCTCAAGGACCTGGGTTGCTTTGCAGCCCAGTTGGGCTTTGAACTCATTAGTTGGCTCTGCAAGGAGCGTGCCCGCGCTGCCCGGGTGGACAACTTTGTGATAGCCCTGAAGAGACTCCACAAAGATTTCCTGTGGCCGCTTCCCATCATCCCAGCCTCTTCTCTCAGTTCTCCTTTCAAGAATGGCAAGCTCCGAACAGGTAGTGCAAGCTTGTGTCACGTGAGTGTATTCTACCCCAGGAACTTAGACGTTTTGCAGTCAGTGGATATTCAAAGAAGTCTTTTTCATTCCAAACTCAGAAAGAGATAAAAGCCACGTTTTTGTACATCAGTCAGATCATCCACCATTTTGATCAAGGATGTGAATAAAGTAGAACCTATGTCTCAGAGACCTTTGACCTTGAAATGCAGTGTATAAATATAGCCATTGTTATTGACTGAATATAGAACTACCACACTTATTATGGGAAGAGAGTTTTGGAATTGTTCCTTACCTGACAGAGCTCATTCCAAAGAAATAGTAAAAATGCATCTTTGAGAGCCCATCTTCTAAACTAAGAGAGGACAAAGTGAAACTGCACTTTGATAAAAGAAAAATTAAAAGATAAAGTTTTTCAGTTCAGATCTTTTTAAGGAAGACTGTTCTAATTGTCACTTAAGAAAATTGAAACAAAAATCTTTAACTATGGCACTTGGAAACTTCATGTCATCTTAGAACTAAGGAAAATCACATCAAAGATGAACAGAGTAAAATTTTGCCTAGTTCTAGTAAGATTTGATGATATTAGATGACTCTTAGGTGGCATTATATAGTCAGTCCATTTTGTTATATGATTTATGGGCAGGGGATGCAGTGTAGAATAGTAATTGGCTTTGAACTTCTAATATTGAACGAGTATGGGAAGAGAGGCTGAAATAACTGAATTGGAAATGGCAGTGTGTGCATCTTGAATTTCCATTTTCTTGTTTTTGGACCTGCTTTGCAGTGGGAGAGCAGCTGTTAAAGTCTCAATCAGCTGACCGTTTCTTAAACCTTGAACTAGATGCTGGCCTTTCTAATGTCCAACGAAGTCAGAGCTGGCTCAGCAACATTGGCCCTACCCACCATGAGATAGACACAGCCTCATCTCCAGGACCACAAATGCAAGAGGCCTTCCTGTCACCTTTATCTAACAAAGGTGAGTGTCACTTTAAGACCTAGCTCTTCCTCAGTTCCTTTGGGAGGGAGTTGAGGTGCTGCAGCACTTCACACAGAGAGAGAACTTTGTTCTTCTTTGAAGATGTTTCCTTGAGGACTACCCGTTAGCATCTGCTGGGTAGGTGAGGGTTGCTAGAACCAGGCCAATTGACCTTGACTGTATGCCACCATATTTACTTTAGGTAAAATGAAATAGGCAAAATCTTATTATATATCAGCACTAACAGTTGAACTTTTGCAATAGATTTTAATGTACAGAAACACTGACTTTGAACCTCATGTAAGCAGAATGTTAACTATCCCCATATAAAAATTCCATTTTTCTCATAAGTATACCTGTGTCATAAAAAATTGTACTCAGTTATCTTCTTTTTATTTTGTTTATTTTAAGATGTGGACATTTTCTTTTAATTTCCTACATAATATCCTTAATTTTGCCTCTTACACTTTAAACTCTAAAATATTTACTATCTGGCCCTTTACCAAAATATGTATGCCAACCTTTGCTCTTAAAGTAATGGGTAAGGCCTGGCCAGAGTGGCTCAGCGATTGAGCGTCAACCTAGAAACTTAAGAGATTACCAGTTTGATTCCCTGTCTAGGCACATGCCCAGGTTGTGGGCTCAATCCTCATTAGGGGGCATGCAGGAAGCAGCCAATGAATGATTCTCTCTCACCGTTGATGTTTCTATCTCTCCCTCTCCCTTTCTCTCTAAAAATCAATAAAAGAAAAATTAAAGAAAGAAATGGGTAAGATAAAATTTGAGGAATTTTTAAAGTGATGTTTGTTGCTTAGGTTTATATAATTTGGAGCAACTAGTACTAATTAATCTGATTTTCTGCAGTTTTCTTAATGGCCAGGTATTCACCTGTCATCCTATAAGCTATGTGGGTAGGCTTATAGATTCCATTATTTTTTTCCAACTGTGGTAGAATATTTAAAAAATTTACCATCTTAACCATTTTTAAGTGTACAGTTCAGTAGTGTTTACATTTCCCATTCACATTGTTCTACCAGTATCAGAACTCTTTCATCTTACAAATTAAAACGCTGTACCCATTCATAACTACTTCCCATTCCTCACTCCCCAACTACTGGCAAATACTATTCTATTTTTTATCTCTCTGAATTTCACTTCTTTAGATACCTCATGTAAAAGGAATTATGCAGTATTTGTCTTTTTATAATTGGCTAATTTCCATCAGCATAACATTCTCAAAGTTCATCCCTGTGTAGAATGCATGAGAAATTACTTTATTAGATAGAGTAATATTTCATTGTATGTTTATACCACATTTTGTTGTTCATCCATCTACTGATGTATATTTGGGTTGTTCCATCTTTGGTTATTATAATGCTGTAGTGAACATGAAAGTATATATCTCTTTGATACTGTTTTTAGTTCTTTGGGGTATATATCCAAAAGTGGGACTGCCAGATCATTTGGCAATTCTGTTTTTATTTATTTTCTGAGAAGCCATCATATTTCCATAGCAGCTACACCATTTTACATTCCCACCATTGTTGACAAGGGTGTTCAGGTTTCTCCACATCGTCACCCACACTTATTCGCTGTTTGTTCTTTTTAATATTAGCCATCATCATGGACATGAGGAAAAGAGAGAGTTGCTCTCTCTTCTTTTTTTAAAATTCTCACCTGAGCATATTTTCATAGATGTTTTTTTGCGGGGGAGAGTGGGAGAGGAAAAGACAGAGAGAAACATCCATGTGAGAGAAATACATCGATTGATTGCCTCCTGCACACACCCCCTGGGCCAAGGAGGAGCCTACAAATGAGATACATGCTCTTGGCCTGAATCAAGCCTGGGATGCTCTATCCATTGAGCCAAGCTGGCCAGGGTCCATTGCTTATTTATTTATTTATTTATTTTTAAGAAACTTTTTAAAGAGATCATTTCAGCCCTAACCGATTTGGCTCAGTGGATAGTGTTGGCCTACAGACTAAAGGGTCCCAGGTTCGATTCCAGTAGGAGGTGTGCAAGAGGCAACTGATTGATGTTTCTCTCTATTGCTCTCCCTTTCTCTCTGTAAAAAAATCAATAAAAATATATTTTTTAAAAATCATTTCAGACATAAAGGTTGAGATAATAGTATAATAGTTCCACATATCCATCACCCAGCTTCAATTACCAACTCATGACCAAATTTGTTTGACCACTTCCCCCTCCTGTATTTTTTTAACCAAATTCAAAGCATACACTGAGTGGCCCGATTATTATGATCTATGAACGCATAATAATCTGGCCACTCAGTGTGTGTGTGTGTGTGTGTGTGTGTGTGTGTGTGTGTGTGTGTGTGTGTGTGTATTAGAGACCCGGTACAGCCTTGCAAGGGGGAGGGAACATGGGCAGTTGGCTGGCCTGCCTGCTGGTCAAACCCCTGGTCGAGGGGGCAATTTGCTTATTAGCCTTTTATTATATTGGATATACAGTGTGTGGCCAGATTATTATGCATTCAGAGATCATAATAAACTGGCCACTCAGTGTATATTTTGTGAATATTTTAGTATTTATCTCTAAAAGGACTCTAAAAAAAATAGCCATAATACCATATCATCCTTCTAAATTTTTAACCCATTAGATATCCAGTAAGCTTTCAGAGTCCCATTGTTTTTGATACATTGAGATTCTTACGTTTTTATTTCTCTTTTTAGTGATTGTTCCCCTCCCCGTCTTTTTTTTTTCTTCTTCTTCTTCTACCTACTTATACATTGAAGAAACTTGCTTAATGGATTTTCCCATAATGTGGATTTTGGTAATTGCATCTTGATGATTTAGTTTAACGGTTTTCTCTGTTTTTCTTGCCAATTGGTAATTAAATCTAGAGACTTGAGCAGAATATAGCTTTTCTTTTCTTTTTTTTTTTTAAATAGGTAGTGGCATATTTTTCCATGTGAAGGCACATAATGCTGGCTACCTCTCTAATGGTTTTTAAAAATATACAGGTTTTTATCCATTTCAGAGAGGAAGGGAGAGGGGGAGAGAGAGAGAAACATCAATGATGAGAATCATTGATTGGTTGTCTCCTACACACCCCTCAATGGGGATGGAGCCCACAACCCAGGTATGTGCCCTGATCAAGAATCGAACTGTGACCTCGTGGTTCATAGGTCAGCATTCAACCACTGGGCTACACTGGTCAGGCTCTAATGGCTTTTTAAAAAAAAAAATCTACCACTGTTAATATAGCTTGGGAATTTTAGCAATGGGTTTATATTTTAGTTTCAAACTCTTCTAGAGAAATCAACATCTAAGAAACAGCCAGTATTTAAAACTAAAGTTAAAACATTTTCCACATGAAGTTTGTTTATAACTTTCGGCACTTCTTCATCAGGTGATGAATGCAGTATCGGTTCAGCCACAGACTTGACTGAAAGTAGCTCCATGGTGGACGGGGACTGGACAGTGGTGGACGAAACCTTCTCCACACTCAGTTTAACTCAGTCGGAGCTGGAGCACATCTCCATGGAGTTGGCCAGTAAAGGGCCTCACAAATCCCAGGTCCAGCTGCGGTGAGTTCCTTGGCCTTTTGAAAGTACAGAATCCCTACTTGGGATATTTGAGCAAATAAGGTACAGGGGCTACTTTCCTAGTAGATTGCCCTTTTGACATCTAGATTCTTCTTAGCTCCATATTTCCTTCTCAGTTATTCTGTTCCTGTTTGTGTATAGGTATTTGCTACACATCTTCATGGAGGCAGGATGTCTGGACTGGTGCATTGTCATAGGCTTGATTCTTAGAGAATCCTCAATAATCAACCAGATTTTGGTGATTATACAGACGACAGAGGTAGACGGAGAGATGTTACAGAACATAAAGACAGGGCTCCATGCGGTGGACCGGTGGGCCTCTGCAGACTGGTAAGTGCTCATTTGTCAGCTTGTTTCTCTGCTGTTCATTGGTGAAGCCTGTCCTTTCCCATTAAGGCTTAGCTCTGGTTCATTTATTTAGAGATTTGAGGTTGGTCAGTATAAAAATGCTTTAATATGTTCATTTTTAGGCTGTGTTCTTTAGTTACTGTTCTGTCCCAAATATTTAAATGATTGATATCCAGTGAGAGAGTGTTGGTCTTTTTAAAATGGAATGCATATCACTGACTTAAGATTGATGCAGCACAAATGATCTTTTTTTGTTTGTTTTTTGTTTTCTTTATTGATTAAGGTATTACATATGTGTCCTTTACCCCCAATTGCTCCCCCCCACACACTCATGCCCTCACCCACCTGGTGTCTGTGTCCATTGGTTTGGCTTATATGCATGCACACAAGTCCTTTGGTTGATCTCTCTCCTTTCCCCCTCCCCTCCCCTACCTTCCCTCTGAAGTTTGATGGTCTGATCTATGCTTCTCTGTCTCTGGATCTGTTTTTGTTCATCAGTTTATATTCATTATATTCCACAAATGAGTGAGATCATGGATATTTATCTTTCCCTGACTGGCTTATGAATTAAGACTGGAACTTAAGGTGGTTCTGTAGAATTAAATAACTTAAAATTTTCTTCTTGAAAAAATAAAAGCTTAGTCTATATGAATTTAACATTGCATGGCCATTACTAGCAAACCAAATTAAGAGTAGTGGATGGCACGGCCAGTGTGGCTCAGTGGTTGAGCATCAATCCATGAACAAAGAGGTTTGTTTCAGAACAGGGCCCATGCCCAGGTTGCAGGCTGGATCCCTAGTAGGGGGCATGCAGGAGGCAGCTGATCTATATTTCTCTCATCAATGTTTCTATCTCCCTGTCCCTCTCCCTTTCTCTCTCTACAAATCAATAAAAACATATTTTTAAAAAGAAGAGTAGTGGATGCTAATAAAACTCTATTAGGACATATAGAATAAAGGATATTTTCGTTTAAAAAAAGAAGTAGTGGATAGAAGTTAGGCGCCTGGGGTTCTAGCCCTTACCAGTTGTGTGTGGATTTGGGGACTTCCCTTACTTGGATGTAGTTTTCCTTCATTGGAAAGCTCTTTTTCCAGTCTAAGATCCTGTTGGTCCTTACACTGTGGAATATGATTTTTAATTGTAATACTAGGTAATTTGCTCCTAGTGCTCAGAAATTTAAGACTCACGCTAATGCTATGTGCAGCCCTTCTATGCTGGCCAGGGCACCTAAGAAACCTTCCCTTCCTACTTCCCTTGCTGCCTCCTCTTCCCTCATAAGCAATCATTGACCTTACAGAATCTGTGTTTAGTAGAGATTTTCCAATAACACTGTAATGTCCGGCCAGTATCGCTCAGTGATTGAGCATCAACCTATGAACCAGGAGGCCATGGTTCGATTCCCTGTAGGGCACATTCCCGGGTTGTGAGTGTGAGCCCCAGTGGGGGGGGATGTAGGAGGCAGCCTATCAATGATTCTTTCTCATCATTATGATTCTGTCTCTCCCTCTCTGAAATCAACAGAAAAAGTATATTTGTATATATAAAAGGCTAATATGCAAAGTGTCCCCTCAGGAATTCGACCAGGAGACCAGAGTTCAATCACTCACTATAATGTGCACTGACCACTAAGGGGTGGGTGCAGAATGAAGGAAGGCTCCAGCCAGCAGCCAGAAGGCCCCGATCGACCCTGATCATGGGCCAGGCCTAGGGATCCTACGTGTACAGATTTCACGCACCGGCCTCTAGTATGTATATAACATTCTATGGAGCCTTTTGAACATGGCAGATGAAAACTAATTTCCTCTTTTTTTTACTTAGTCCTGGATATAAGCCATTTTTGAACATCATTAAGCCACAATTACAGAAGCTCAGTGAGATAACAGAAGAGCAGGTCCATCCTGAAGCCTTCCAGCCAGTAACTGTGGGTAAGACTCCTGAACAGACTAGTCCCCGGGCAGAGGAGAGCAGGGGCTCCTCGGGCCACGGAAGCATCCCCCAGGGCGAGGTCGGAGGTGGCGGTGTGGTCAGCCGGAAAGAGGAGAACACAGCCCGCACAGAGGTGGAGGAGACTTTTCAGGATGGGACTTACGACTGTTGTGTGTCCTAACAACAGTGAGGTGCCGTCACCTCGGCAGTATTAGCAGCAGCGTGCGTGCGTGCGTGCAAATGAGGACACTGTGACCTCGTTGGATGATTTAACCAGGGAGCTCAGCTCAGAGACTCTGGTAAGGTATTAAATTTTAACTAACTCTTCTCTAAGAAATTTCCTTGACTCCAAAAAAATGTGATATCAGAATAAATCATCTTTCATAAAAAAATTTTTTTAAAGCTTTGGTGGAAAGTAATAAAGAATACTGTACAGATGTACATGAGAATATTTTGGTTTTATTCTTAAAGGTTGGTAGCTCTTAAACCATAGGGATTGTTTTGCCCCAGATGAGCTTGCTTTTTCACTAAAAATAGCTTCTTACATGTTTTCTGGTTCAGTGTGTCCAGGTTGCTTTTTAAAAAAATAAATGTTCGTGTGCTTGCTGTAGCTTGTCGGGTATCTGAGCTACCTGGAGTGCCCTAAATAGAGAGCACTGGACTCTAGCCGGGCCTCCTGAGCAGATGCCTGCCCTGGCACAGCACATGCCAGGCCTGACTGATGGGAGCACTTCACCTGTGAGTCAGTGGGCCAGCGGCATTCCTGCTGGACCAGCGTGGGTAGAGGTCGGAGGGGTTCTTGTCTAATTATGTGTTAGATACCACTGAACTATTTTGTATCAAGAACTTTATCTTTTTGTGAATAACCTGTGTAAATATACTCAAAGGCACTGTTCATATTTTTAGGGCTTGTATTATAATTTGTAAGGTTTATGCTGGATTCTGCATGGCTATGTATACTCACTCTTGGAATAAAGACAGGGCTTGCTCTTCTTTCCAAATATGAGCAGTCTTCATAAAGGAAGACAGGTTGATTCATAGGGGAAGACAGGTTTATTTTATTGGCTTGGTCATAAAATAACAGAAATGGTCACACCGATCATGAAACGAAACCGGTTTTGTGCAAATTGATGTAGTTTCTTATTTATTGCTTTTGTAAATTGAGTAAAAATGGACTTTTATGTAAATATACTGAATCCTGTATTATCATGGCTAACTAAAAATTAGTATGTAAAGAATGCATTCTTCATTGTAATTTTAAAAATATTTTATGTATTTCTAGATATGACTTAATTTTAGTTTTCATATATTATGAAAACTGCGTACTCCTTAATTGCTTCAGACTAAACACATACCCACTGTATGTACTTCTAATTACCTTATAACAGTATTAATTTAGATAGCTTGTTTGTACTGTGCAATTTGAACAAAGGAATGCAATGTTATTTTTTACAAAAACAAACTTGTTTATTTTTATAACGATGTATTTCATGTGGACCAAATTCATACCACTATGTAAAACAGCCTCTCTTAGTGCAATTACAGTTTAGAAATAAAATTTGGTCCTCTATCCATGTTTTTAAAAGTAAGTGGCTACAGTTAGCTGTCCTCGCCAGGTTTCCTTTGACGGGAAACTCAAAACCATTTTTGAAATTGCTTAGTTCAGAATTCATCAAACTGTTTTAAATCATTGGGTTTGGTAATTTACTATCATTTACTTCTTACAAGTGCAATAATTTCACATACTGAAACTCCTGAATGGGTAGAATATGTGATTACTGGTACCTGACCTGGTCCTTCTGGTGCTACTTTTATTTAAGCCTTTGTTTCAAACCACCTTTCCCTGACTCTTAAGGTAGAACTGTTTCCCAGGTGAGTACATCATGAGCTCAGCAAGAAACTCAACTGAAATTTCTTCTGCCCTAGTCCACTAGGAGAAGACCTAGCATTACTTTTGTGTTTGGTGTGAATATCCCGTCAATAAAAATGATTTACCATTTAAACAGCTGTCATCTTTTCCAATATCCTAATGTGCTGCTGGGTTCATCTTGCACTGTACCAAGCAGGCATCAATAAGAGCTGTATTCCTGGGGATAATGCCATAAATTAATCCTCTAGAAAATACTTGTTTTTCAGCTAATAGGAATGGGTGGCCCCCAAGGCAAAAGAGACAAATTTATAGGAAATTTCTCTGATAATTTGTTAATACAATTTAATATTTAAAAATTCAATCTTATTTTGCCTTGTTTGGTTCACTTGTCAACTGTTTAAGCCATATTTTTAACCAGTGAATTTAAATATTCAGTATAACCAAGGTTTAAATTATTTGCTAATACCAAAACAATAAATCATTTGCGGATAGAGTCAACCTTTGCTTGAATTAAAGTTGCTGCTACTTCTGTAATGTGTACTTTACGTGTAAAGGACAGTAAAACCGTTCCATGAACTTTTGTTTGTTCACCATCTCAGGTTAACAGCAAAAAGTATATGTATTAAAAGCCACATAAATATTCTTTTGGTTATATAATTCCACCTCTTAGAATTTTTCTTATGAAATAGCTTAGAAATTCAGCAGACTTAATATTTATTTATATGCAAATTATTTAGAATAGGAGCCTCAAGAGTTGGCAGCATCCTAGATGCTTGACAATGCAAGATTGGAACAAATGATTTATGTTGATATTTTAAACTATCATGAAAAAATATGAAATCATGCATACCATATAATTTCCACCAAGCAAAACTTTATATATAAAAAGTATAGAGGACACCAGGCATCATCTCTAACAGGTAGGATTAACAATTTGATTTTTACTTTTTCCTGTTGTCCTATATTCCTAAATCTGCTGTGTCTATGGATTTGCCTATTCTGGACATTTCACCTAAATGGAATAATGTTATATGTGGCTTTTTCTGTCTGGCTTCTTTCACTGAGCATGATGTTCATCTTTGTATATCAGTGCTTCATTCCTTTTCAACGTTGAATAATATTACATTTTATAGACATGCTATATTAGTTTATCTAGTTACTTAAGGTATTGGGTGGTTTCCATGTTTTGACTATCATGACTACTACTATGAACATACATGTACAAGTATTTTATGTGGACATATTGTCAGTTCTGTCTAGGAGTGGAAATGCTGAGTGATGTGTTGCAAGTTAATTCTTTGAGGAGATGCCTAACCATATTCCCAAGATGCCTGGGCCATTTTTTTTCAATTCCCATTAGCAATGGTTCCGATCTATATTTGTTATTGTTGTACTTTTGGTAATAGCCATCTGTGTTAATATAAGTGGCGGTATCTCATTATAGATTTGCATTTCCCTTATGGTTATCTTTTCATGATTATTAGCTGTTTGTGTATCTTCGGATAAACATGTTCACATTTTTTGCTCACTTCACATTTGGGTCATTTATCTTTCTATTGTTGATTTGCAAGAGTTTTTATATATTTTGGAAATTAGATGCTTGTCAGATAGAGTCTCATTCCCCCACTATCCAAGAGCAGGGTGTTCCTGCTTTCTGAAAGTTTGTGCCGTGGCACTCGGCTATTTTGAAAGACCTATGTTAATATGATAACAGCTTTTTTCAAAAAAGTGAAAATTCATTTCTTTCAGTTAGCAAAAGCAGGTGCTAATGCCAATGTTTTCTTCTAAAGGATTCATGATTTTAGTTTCCACATGTTAGTCTTTGATCCATTTGAGTTCATTTTTTTATGTCCTGTGAAGTGAAGGTGTCTTAGTTCTTTTGTATGTGAAGATTCAGTGTCCCAGAACCATTTACTGAAGTTTTTCTCCCATTGAATTGTCAAAACTCAATAGACTGTGAATGTGTGAGTCTATTTCTGGACTGATTGCACTTCACTGATCTATGTCTGCCAGTACCACACTGTTTTGATTACTGTTGCTACTTTGTAGGAAGTTTTAAAAGTGTGAGTCCTAAGTTTTTCTCAAGACTATTGGCTGTTCTGGGTCCCTTGCAGGATCAAGTTATGTGTGTGTGCACACACAAAAGGCAGCTGGGTTTGATAGGAACTGTACTCATTCTATAGATCAATTTAGAAAATATTGCCATCTTGGTCTTAGAACATGTCTTAATTCCTTTCAGCAATGTTTTATATAGCATTATATAGTTAGCATTATAAAAATCTGGTACTTTTGTTTGTAAGCTTATTCCTAAGTATTTTATTCTTTTCCATGCTATTGCAAATAGAATTACTGTTAGTATGTTGAAATTAGATCCTACAATACTGCTGGGTTAATTAGTTAACGGTAATAGTTTTTGTGGCTTCCTTAGGATTTTCTTTAAAGATCATGTCATCTGCTGCTAATCTGGATGGCTCTTGCTAGAACCTCGGCACAGAATTCAATAGAAGTGAGTAGTGTACATTTTGTCTTCTTTCTGAACTTAGGGGGGAAAACATTATATTCAGTCTTTAATCACAAATTATTTTCTTAAATGATTTCTATTAGGTTAAGGAAGTTCCCATCTATTATTAGTATTAGTTGGTGTTAGGCTTTGACAATGTTTACCAAATAATTGGTCATCTATTGAGATGATTATATGGTAACTGTCCTTTATTTTATGAATATGGTATATTGCATTGATTTTTCAGGTAATGTAGTAGTATCAAAAATATATATTGATGTACTTCCAAATTGGCTAGGCCAGTGGTCAGCAAACTGCAGCTCTTTGGCCCCTTGAGTGTGGCTCTTCCACAAAATACCACGTGTGGGCGCGCACGTACAGTGCAATTGAAACTTCGTGGCCCATGCACAGAAGTCTGTTTTCAGATCTCAAAAGAAATTTTAATTGTTGTACTATTGATATTTAGCTCTGCTGACTAATGAGTTTGCCGACCACTGGGCTAAGCTGTTTTTTAAATAAAGAGGTATTAAGTGCAAAAGGTATTAAGTGCATTTTGGCTTTATTGGCCATAAATTAAACTATTAGGAAAGTCATTCTGCTATTACACCTTGTACTGGACTATTTTGAGGAGTAGTGGTGCCCTTTTTTGTGTGTGGAGATTGAACTCTATCTCCCAACAAAATAGCCTTTCAGTGATTTCCTTTGTCAATGCATATGATTTAAAGTGGTCATTCATTTCACAGCCAAAAGGATTCCAGTTGAAGTATACATTTCCATGTTGGAGTTCTTTGCTCACATGTTCCATTAAAACAGCAGTTATAACCACAGGCCAACCTCATGGCCCACAGTTGGTGACCGCTGATCTAGGCCTTTTAAAAACAGTAAGACTTTAAGATTTTTTTCAAATATAAGGATACAGAATACAATAAAGATCTATTTTTCAATATACTAACTTTAAATCTTTAAAAGTTTATTTCAGTAACATTGTAAGGCAACAATTAATTCTCAAGTGAAACCAGTGAAAAGTAATGGACAGACATAATCATTTTTTTCTATAGCTTCCTGAGTCAGCAAGCTGGGTTATGGCCCCCTCAATGGTAACATTTTAAGAATCCTAGCATGCTGGAAACAATACTTCATACTACAATAATTCTTTTAGGACAACACAGTAAATTTTAATTATTTACCCTTTCCCTGAATGTGCAATACTGTGCTACTTACATTTAAATTCGGAAATCGTGTATTTTAGAATTTGCAAAGACTCTTAGTCAAAGGATCAGATACTAAAAAAGAAAACATTCTTTAATTTCAGAGAGCTTCATCTATCAGTGGTGTGCTTATTAACAGAGCCATGAATATCAGATTTAACCATTTCTGGAATAAGTCAATATTCCAGCATATTAAGCATCCCAGAGATTTGTTACCAACCTTGCATAATATGAAAGCTTTATAATATTAAAGCCAAAACATAATTGTTTACATATGAAGGTACAATTCAAGGGCAAAAAGAAAACCATGATTGTTACTGAAAAGAGTAACAACATCCTTCCCAAAGAAAACTGATCACAAGTAACACATTTGGGCTTTTACCTTTCCCACCCCTAAAAACAATTCCAGATTACTCACAAAAATATGTTTGTTGTACATAGTCATCCCTTAGAACCCAGGTGGGATGGTGTGTTAAACCACCCATTTATAAAATAGCGTAGTATTTGCATATAGCCTACGTCCATCCTCCCATATACTTTAAATCATCTCTACATTACTTATACTGGTAATATCTAATACAATGTAAGTAGTTGTTATACTGTATTTTTTTTTTTTAAGGAAAAAAGACTACATGTTTACTACTGACACAGTAGGCCTAACAACTTAGTCCATGTCAACAACTTTTTTCCCTGCATATTTTCCATCTGTGGAACCTACAAATATGGAGGACTGACTGTATTTCATTGAGCTATTTATTATTACCGCCCGCTTGACAGATAAATGTGGCAGGAGTCAGGCACTTGAGGCTAATAATATGTGGTTTCTACAAAGTAAAAAGCAATGACTCCGGTGTCCATGCATGTCACAGCCAGCATGTTATCACTCAGCTCTGGTTGCAGCCCTGTTTGTGTGGGCCCAGTGAGTTTTAAAGAGCCACAAATCAGGCAGGCAATATGAGGAGCATGATTAGAAATGATATCGTGTATCGCACAATAAGAATTTCCTCCCGTGATACATACTTACTCTCTGTTCAAATGGGTCCAAGTGCCAATTTTTACTGTGGCTTTAAAAAAAAAAATTTTCAGGGGGGAGAGTTGCTTACTAAAGTTAGAATTTATCCGACTTTTTACAGAAAAAAGAAAGCTAGCAAAATGTACTAGTGATCTTACCAAGCCCTTTCACTGCTGACGCCAGGGGCACTGCTGTGATATGCTCACAAGCCACCTTCTTAAGCACCTCTTAAGTCCTAACAGCTACAGGGAAGCCAGTTCTGCTGGACAGTAAGTTACTGAGAAAGCAATCTGTTCAGCTGGTTAGAAAACAGACAAAAATAAAGACCCCATGCATCAATAATAAAATTACGCCCTTAAGGATCAACCTTGGAAAATTCCCTTCTACAAAACAGAGAGAATAAGTATGTATACAATGCTCAGTTACTATTACCCACCCACCTCCCTCCCCCCAGAACAGCCGCCATGGCAACCGGCAGGAGGTGCAAGTCCTGTACTTGCACAAACAACTGACATTCTGGACCGTGAGGACGGGGGCAGAGAACCAGTAAGGTGGAGGGGGCGGCCAGTACTTTAGAGAAAAACAGGCATTGCAACATGGACTGCACTGACCACCCCTCAGTAGCTAGGAGCCACCAGCTGAATGCCGGCTTCCACACCGGGGGTCCCGGGCGCCAGCACACGCTAGAAGCTGCCTGAAGAAGCACTTCTCCCCGCTCAGGCTGGCGTCTCAAAAGCCCCCCGCTGCTTCCCGTCCTTTTGTAATAGTTTCCTAGTGACCTACGGCAGGCCTCCAGGGGAACCAGTACTCCACCGACTGGCAATTCACCCGCCATCCATGACACAGCCAATGGTCTTGGATTCTCATTGGAAATGTCATGTGTCTCAGTAATGATGGTCTTGAAGTACTTTCCGCATCTGTCGGGACCCTCGGGGGACAGCTGTCGCAGTGGTCTGTTGGCTTTTGTCCGTAAGTCACATAAAATGACACGTTAGTGCAGGGGTAGTACCCACGTGTGCTTGGGCGCCAGAAAGCTGGCATTTTCAAGTTTTAAAAAGGCCTTGTGTCACTGCCCCACCAAACTTACTAAAATTCACTGACTTACATTACAAATGTCCGTGTAGCATAAGGAGAGGCCATGTCACCTGCAGGGTCCCGCGGGGCGTTTACCTGGAGCTCAGTCACAAGGTTAAAACACATAGAGGTCGTAGGTGCACACCCAGGCAGAAGGGAACGTCCAGTCTGGGAACTTCTCTTTCAGAGCGTCCAGCTGGGAGGACCGCTTGTCTTCCCCAGAAAAATAGTGGGCAGCAATGGCCACCGTGACGGCCCCCTCGGGCTGCTCCTCCAGGACCTGGCAGAGAAAGGGCGTTAGTTTTCTAGCTACAAAGTGAAGGCAGAATACTGATGCCAACTCCCACCTGGAAAGCTGACCAGTGAGGCCAGCGGGGCTGGGAAGTTCCTACCTGCACTTCTATCCAGAACTGCCATGCGGAGGCTTGGAGTCCATGGGAGTAAAAGACAAAGTAGTCCCCTCCTTTACTTGTGACGGGGGTGCCATTGCCGAGAGACCACTGAGACAGCGTGGACCCTTTGTGGGGTCGGACATACAGTGACATGTGACTTGGTCCTGTAATGTAAGAGGAAGAAAGGCCAGTTATAACGATCTTTAAAACAGCATCGACAAGAAAAGCAAGCCACCAACCAAACCAGACTGTGAAATTCATGCCTTTTATCACTTTAAAGACACTCACTGCAAACCGAATGGAGGTTTGCCAATCTGTAGATCAATAAAGGTAAGTAATGAGGTGCGGCAGAGACCTGGGTTCAAGTCTTAGCCTTGTCTCTGAAACATGCGAGCACTCATGAGAGCCCTTCTTCAGAATCTAGAAAATAAGCGTCATCAGACCAAGAGAGAACTGCCACAACCATAGCAAAAGAACTGGCCCTGAGGATTTTATCTTACTAAAACAGATACTGGCGGGAAACTGCTGTGTAAATGCTGCATGTAGCAAGCTAGTAAGTGCACTCCCCAACTCAGTGCAAGGTTAAATAATAGGTGATCAAAGCAAAAATAAACTTTCTTAAATGCCAGGAAATCTTTTTCTTAATTAAAGAACAAAGTAGACATCAAAGGAAAGGAGTATTGCACATAAGTCACGTAACTATAAACCACTGACAAAGACAGATCTATTCACATTTTATGACTGATGCTTTCTAACTCAGCCACTAAAAGAAAAGTTTTCAGCTTGGCTTACAAAGCCAGACCAATCTTGTACTATATCCAAGGAATATACTTAAAGAGATATATTCCTTTTACAGAAAGGGTAAAAACAAATGTATGAACAAAGGTATTATAGGCAGTTGGGACACAAGGTTTAAAAGAGCTTTTTGGCAGAAACTGGTTTGGCTCAGTGGATAGAGCCTGGGGACTGAAGGGTCCTGGGTTCGATTCTGGTCAAGGGCATGTACCCCGGTTGCGGGCACATCCCCAGTAAGGGCGTGTGCAAGAGGCAGCTGATCGATGTTTCTCATCGATGTTTCTAACACTCTTATCCCTCTCCCTTCCTCTCTGTAAAAAATCAATAAAATATATTTTTAAAAAATAAATATCTTTTTAAAAAGAGCTCTTTGATGTCAGGAGAAAATAAAGTTCAAGACAAAAAGCATTAAAAGTAAAGACATTTTGATACTAAAAGCCGCAAGTTCACATAAAAACTGTTAGTTCTATACACCAAGTAATAGCAACTATTTTATGAAGCAAAACTACACAGGGGATGCAAAAATATATATAGAAATACATATAAAACTATAATATTTTACTGTAAGACATCGATTGAACAAAATATAAAAGACCTAACCAAAATGATCAGTGAAATAGATCATATGAAATCTATCAAATTTTACATGCTGATGATACAGATATATTTCATTTCGGGTGAGCGTAAAACGTTAGATCATTAAAATAGCAAAATTCTATAAAATTGAGATTATAAATAACAATGATTATAAATCAAAGCTTGAAATTATCAACAAAACAAACCAGCCTTCTACCTGGAAATTAAGGGTGTCCTACTTAAAAGATGCATGGGTAAAAGGAAATAGAAACAAAAATTCTGGAATATTTTATATTATAAATACTACATATACCAGAAACTATTGGACACAGGTAAATATAGCAATAAACATTGTTTTCAATAAAATGAAAAGTATATAAAAGGACAAAATAAAAAGCACAAGTTAGGAAATATTATAGACAAAATCAGAAATCAATGAAATGGAGAACAGAACAAAACAGATCCACCTTAAACAAAAGTCTGTTACTCTTTTAAATTCAGACAACCACTAGCTAACTTGTTAGGAAAGAGTCATTTGGGAGGATGGGGGGAGAGGAGCAAAAACAAGTATGCAAAAAGAGAAAAATAAACAGAAGTTTGTAAATCACATATGACTGCTTTGAAGAACTCTACACTAATAACTTTGAAAACGCAGATGAAATGGAGATTTTTCTAGGAAAAGACAGGCAACCAAACTGAACACAGCCGTAAAGCTGAGCAGACCAATTACCCAGAAAAATACATAAAGCTGCTCCACAAAGACACAGGTGGTTTCAGAGAGGAATTCAAGTTTATGGAGCATTGGAACCACTTGGTGTCAGGAGAAAATAAAGTTCAAGACAAAAAGCATTAAAAGTAAAGACATTTTGATACTAAAAGCCGCAAGTTCACATAAAAACTGTTAGTTCTATACACCAAGTAATAGCAACTATTTTTTGGAAGTTTATTTCATAAACTTCCAAAGCATTGAAAATTAAGGAAAACCTGCCAACTGCTTTCATGATGTGTGACATTTATGCTTTTACATTTATAATGCATAACACTAGTACTTAAATCTGATAGAGTATAAAACATACACATAGACCAATATACACTGAGTGGCCAGATTATTATGATCTCTGAATGCATAATAAATCTGGCCACTCAGTGTATATCTTATATAATAAAAGGCTAATGTGCAAACTGCCCCCTCAAGTTTGACCAGCAGGCAGGCCGGCCAACCGCCCATGTCCCCTACCCCTGGCCAGGCTAGCCAGATCTCACCCATGCATAAATTCATGTATCGGGCCTCTAATATATATACGCGCACACACACTCTGAGTGGCCAGATTATTATGCGTTCAGAGATCATAATAACTGGCCACTCAGTGTAATTCATGAGATATGCAAAATTTCTAAAGAAAAAAAAAATTAAAAATTATTTTTTACAAAATTAAAAATAATTCCTTATTTTAAAAAATATTTCAAGACGTGCCAACTGATGAATGTTAAACATGATAAAAAATCATCTATCATGGGAAAAACTATAGACTTTGCATAAGAACAAGGCAAGAATGCCCCTGTCTCATTAATACTTCTAGCAGCTGTTCTACACAATGCTAGAAGTATTAATCACTTAATTAGAGACATAAGAATTGGTAAAGAAATACTACATTTGCAGATGACATGCAGTAGTCAACAGCTATATTTTTGTACAGCTTTCAGGATAAAAATGCTTTGTTTACTTAATTAATCTCTTGTTTTTATTCAATTCCTCACCTGAGGGTTTTTTTTTTTAAGTTAAATTTAGAAAGAAAACATCGGTTGCATCCTGTACAAACCCCAACCAGGGACTGGACCCACAGCCTAGGTATATGCTGACCGGGAATTGATCCGGGAGCCTTTTTGGTGTACAGGATGATGTGCCAACCAACTGAACCACTCAGTCACACTTAGATTATGACAATGCCTAAAATATTTACTATCTGGTCCTTTAAAGTTTGGCAATTTCTGGAGAACCCTAAAGTTTTAAGAATTGAAAAATAAAAGATTCAGTGAGATAGCATACAGAAGTCAATTGCCTTCACACAAATTATAACCAGTTAAAGGTTTACTGGTTGAGAAAAATCCAATTATAATAGCAACAAAACCTAGATAAGAAAAATTTTATAACACTTTTGAGAGACAAAGAAGTAGGTTTGAATAAGTAAAAGGACATTCCACGTTCATGGATAAGGAGACTCAAAGTCACTGCAAAACAATGAAAAATCTACAAAAGATCTTAATTGTCCCAATCATTTCCTATAAGCTTCTATAATTTAAAGTGTGGTAACTGGTACACAGACATACGTATAAACAGTCCAAAAAACTTTTCTGATTTCTTGACATCTGCAATCACAAAACACAGGATGGGTGGTGTACAGCTTGCCTACCAGGAACCTGCCTTTGCTGGAATTCTCCAAATTGTGCATTAAAGGATAGAGGAAGGTTAGTGCTTCCTGTTAAATTTTCTTTAAAAAAACATCATAATCAGCTGCAATTGCTTTTAGAAACACTAAGCTACTGGTCACTATTATAAACCTGAGGAAAAAAACATCCATGCTTAAAAATTTTAAGAACAATAGACAAGAAGAAAACAGCCATATGACTTACCTGATGCTTCAAAGGTCAGCCTCACAGAATCCCAGGGGGTCTGCTCTCTGGACAGAAGTCTGAAATGAACAGGTTCTCCGGGAGCAACCTCTGAGGCGGGGAGATACCAGTTTTTCCTGTTTGGAAAGGAATTCAATGTTCAACAATTTCAAAAATATTTAGGATGCTTGTGTTGAGAATATTTGAAACAGATTTTGGGGCATGAAGATAAACTCTGATGAGTATAATCCTCTTATATAATAAAAGGCTAACATGCAAATTGCCCCTTGACTGGGAGTTCACCCAGGGGAGGCGGGGCCAGCCAGCCAACCTCCTGTGCCCCCCCCCCCTCAATCTGGTTGGGCTGGACGGACTCCATCCATGCACGAATTGGTGCACCAGGTCTCTAGAAATAAATAATGCCAATTCCTCTGGAGCCCAGGTTACTGCAGAATAAAACCTTCCCAAGGTTAAGAATAAAGGTTCCTAAGGTGATCTTGATTCCACTACCGAAACTATTTCTTCTCATCTATTCCTCCACTGCCAGACGCTAGAAATTTCTCAGAAACGGCCCTGGCCCGTGAAGAGCAATGGTTAGAGTGTCGTGGATTGGATTCCTGGTCGAGGGCACATACCTCAGTTGTAGGTTTGCTCCCTGCCCCAGGTTGGGGCACGTGCAGAAGGCAACCCATCAATGTCTCTCTCACACATCAGTGTTTCTCCCTCCCCCTGCCCTTCCCATTCTCTGAAAAGCAACAGAAAAAATATCCTCAGGTGAGAATTAACAACAGCACAAAAAATTTTCCCAGAAGTGAAACACACGTTTTGAATTTGATGCTTAACTTGCTGTCTAGTAGCTCAGTTCTAACTACTGAGCTTTCTAGAGGACTTTTCTAAATTTGAAAAAAAACAAACAAACAAAAAAAGCACTCTTCTGAGTGCTTCATCCCACTGAACACAGAACTGTTGCAGTGATAGGAAAAGGCAACGGGAATGGCACTTGACTTCCATGTTGACCAGTTCACCCCCATCTGAAGCAGCGGGCGGGAACCCACCTGATGAGAAAGTGCACGGGGAGGTACCACGGGAAGCCGCAGAGGGGCGCCGCCGCCTCGCAGTGTGCCCGGATGGTGTCGTTGATCTCGGGGACGTGAGGGGTGATGTGAGACATTCCCGTGTAATCAAACCCATTGATCCATATTCCGGAATCCCGTTTAACTACTTTTCCATCCAAGTCATGAAATGTCCTTGTCGTATGCTGAGAGAAGAACAAAACTAATGAGAAAACTGTTTCAGTTCCTTCACCCACATCCCCACCCCAGACTAACCGGAATGAATAAGTCTGACAACAGCAGGACAGAGGTGGCTGTGGGGCAGCAACAGGCACGCTCGCACACTGCTGGAGGGAGTGTGTGCTGGCACGGTCCCGTTAGGACAAAGTGAACATGCACGTCCCTCTCCTCACAGTCACCTTGGAGAAACCTCTGCACCGCCCACCTTAGCAAAGACCGGGAACAACCCAGATGTCTATTAACAGTGACGTGAGCGAACTGGGGAGTCATCCCACAACCGAAGTCTGCTCAGCGAGGAAAACAATGCACTAGGGTGACACAAATCAACACGGAAGATTCTCCCTCACATGCTCAGGGGCAGAAGACTGTTTATGGAATGGCTTTACCTGTAAGAAATTTAAAAGCAGGCAAAACTGCCGAAACCGGTTTGGCTCGGTTTATAGAGCCACTGAGGCCTGCGCCTGAAAGGTCCCGGGTTCAATTCCGGTCAAGGGCAGGTACCTTGGTTGCGGGCACATCCCCAGGAGGGGGTGTGCAGGAGGCAGCTGATCGATGTTTCTCTTTCGTCGATGTTTCTGACTATCCCTCTCTCTTCCTCTCTGAAGAATCAATAAAACATATTTATAAAATAAAAATAAAAGCACGCAAAACTATGTGTTGTCGTTTAGGAATTTTACGTGTGTGGTAAAATAAAGAAAAGTAAGGTAATGATTAACTCCCAACTTCAAAATGTTGGGTGAGTACTGCTTTAGGGGCTGGGAAGAGGGAGAAAGAGTTGGATCAATAAGGTCCCATTGGGTTTTCTTAAGTACTGTTAATGTGCTTTCCTTTAAACTCAAAGATGGGCTGTTTTATTATTTTATTATTTCTTACAAATATATTTTGACTTTTGTTTCATTTTTTTTCTTACAAATTTATTTATATATTTAAATTTCATATAAATTCTGAAAACCATGGGCACTAGAACTCCTTTTAAATAAGGACTTCCATAGTATTATACAACACACATTTCCCTTTCAGTGTTACCTGAGACTAATTCATGTGCAGAGAAAAATGGGAACCACAGCTCATCAATATGGGACAGACTTGTGCACCAAATTCCTTCTGGAACAGACTTTTTTTTAAGTATCAATGCATAAGTAGCTTTTCTTTCTTTTCCTTTTTTTTTTTTTTTTTTTTACAGAGGGAGAGTTAGAAACATCCATAAGAGAGAAACATCGATCAGCTGCCTCCTGCACACTCCCTCCTGGGGATGTGCTCGCAACCAAGGACAAGTGTTAACATGGCCTTGACCAGAATCGAACCTAAAACCCTGAGTCCACAGGCTGACACTCTTATCTACTGAGCCAAATCGGTTAGGGCTGGAATAGCTTTATTAATAACAGAAAGCAGCCTGAAGAATATCATACAGGAGAAGAAATAGGGTTGCAGAGGGCTTAGGTACTATCTGTGGCTGCTTTCACTATAAAAAAAAATAAAAATAAAAAAACAGCAGCTGGAAGGCCTTAAAATACTGTCTGGCCCTTCACAGAAAAAGTTCAAGCAAAGCCCAATTCCAATCAGAACAGGAATTTTTAAAAACAAAACTCTGGTTTGTGCTCAGTAGTACTGATTTAATTAATTAGATCACGCAGATTTAATTATTAACATTAGAAAGACATTCTGTTGTATTTATATATTTATATATTTAAATTCCATATAAATTCTGAAACCTGGAACTAATACTGAATGTTAATTATGCTTTGAAATTGAAAACATTAAGTCACAGGAAACATTAAATCTCCTAAAAATTAGCTTTTCTCACCCAGCTGGTGTGGCTCAGTGGTTGAGTGTCGCCCTATGACCAGGAGGTCACAGTTGGTTTCCGGTCAGGGCACAGGCCTGGGGTTGCCGGCTCAATCCCCAGAAGGTGCCATGCAGGAGGCAGCCGATCAATGATTTCTCTCATCACCAATGTTTCTCCCTTCCTCTCTGAAATCAATAACTTTTTTTTAAAAAGTTAGCTGTTCTTCACCAAAGGTTTTTTGCAAACTGTAAAATGTCACATAAAATGTATCACTATTGTCCTCCAGTATATAAACAAGGACTAGTTGGCCCTTTTTCAAAATCTCCCTGATATTTAAGTTCAAATGTTACTATTACTTATGCCAGTCCCTGAGTAATGACCGAGGCTGTGACCCAGCTTTTCTGTGGGCCTCCCCTCCCCCTCTAACAGAGAACTGTAAAGAAAGCGACTGCTTTCTGGAGCCAGCTCTAAAAGTCTGCAGAAAAACTTGAAATATAAGAAAATTCTAAATTTCACTTTATTGAACCCTTTCTAAATCACTGTATTTTCATTGTCACATATTGCTTTGAGTGTTAACTAAGATCAGTTTGACCAGCATTTAAAAACGTCTATTTTAGGCCCCTGCCAGACAGCTCAGTTGGTTAGAGCAGCGGTCACCAACCAGTGGTCTGTGAGGTCTGAAAGGTTGGCGACTGCTGGGTTAGAGTGTCATTCCCATTCACCAAAATTGTGAGTTCGGTCCTTGGTCGGGGCACATAAAAGAATCAACCAATGAACGCATACCGCATTTTCCGGCGTATAGGACAACCCCCTAATTTTACAGTTAAAACATAGGTTTAGGCCTATATTCGCTGTATAAGACTACCCCCCACTTCCGAGGCAACACCAGTTCTTTTTTTAATAGACCGCCTCTCTGACTCTGGCCAATGAGCAGGCTTTTTACTAGAACACAGTGTAGCTTCAGGTACAGAACATGTGTAATTTGCATGCATAAAAAGCCTGCTTGGATTGGCTGAGTTAGAGAGGCGGTCCAAGCAGCCTTGCAGTGATTGGTGCAGGATCGAATTGGAAGATTTGTTTAGCGGCATATCGAGACGTTTTTCAGGATATACTCAGCATATAAGACGACCCCCCCCCCCATATATACTCCTCCCCCCCATTGACTTTTTTGTCTCAAAAGTCGTCTTATACGCCGGAAAATACGGTAAATAAGCAGAACAACAAATCAATGTTTCTCTCTTTCCCTCCCTACCTTCTCCTTCCTCTCTCCCTCTCTCCTCTAAAATCAATAAATTTAATTAATTAATAAATAAAATACCAATTTTATTTTGCCAGTTGATAGTTCAGATTTTTACTGGCCTGCAGAAATTCTTACCGTCTATACCTCTCAAAGCTCATTACCCCATGGTATTTTTCAAAGTGGGCGCATTCTTACAATCTGAACAGTAACAAAACAGCAAGCAGATATTTCCAATTTGTCTCTTGGGAAGTAGCTACTAGCAGTAGCTGATGAGAATGCCTCTTGACGCTCAGTCTTTTCCTCTCTGTCGTACACAGAATAGTCAAGCACAACTCAACAGGTCAGCGGCAGGAATGTCGGCTGGTTTTCCTGTTGACTAGTGAAGCCCAAAACGCACAAGGCTTCCTCTCCAGAATTCCAAACAGCTCACGCACGGCGGCTCTTACCTGGAGAAACACCCTCTTTGGCTTTGGGCTGGCGGGGTTGGAGCTGTACGGGAAGAAAGTTCCACTGCAAACGAGGAGGAATGTGACTGCACACACCAGAGTGAGGGTTAGCATGGTCTTTTGTGTGCTTCTGGCAAGGTAGATGAAGTTAATCTGAAACGCAAAAACAGGGGAAATCACCACTGGCAGAGAGGTGGCTGTGACTGACTGTTTTGTGACAGGCGTTACACGGCAGACAATGAAGAAAACTTGTCAGCGCCCGGTGCTAACCTACCCCCGGGAAACAAAGACTGATTCTAAGGATTCCCACCACACGCAGAACTCAGATGAGTGAGAAACGGCCCCAGCTCCCGTGGCGGCGCCTTTCCGGAAGACCGCGGCGGGAAAGACAGGACCATCCGGGTGTCCGCTCAGCTGGCAGTGAGACTAGAGGATGCAGATCCATCACCAAACTGTGACTTCATTTTGTTTCCTGTTCTGTCAACGTGCTGTTAACACCCATGACTGTTAACACAGATGCCTTCGCTACCAGCTCTTCGTGGCAGAAGGTCTTATTTAAAGAAACAGGGTACCCGTTCAGGCCCATTTCAATAAAACACATTTCACTCATAATGCTTTTTTAATGTGCCAAGGTGCTGGATCCCTTTGGATGGACTTTCAAGACTTTCCTCCTGAACGTGAGGAAAAACTACAACACAAAGTAATAGTGTCCCTCCAGACGTGGGCACGAGAGTGTCTCAGTCTCAACGCAGCAGCCAAAACCCTAAATTTGCTTATTAATTGTAATAAAATCACTGAATTAAAAGTTACAGGGGACACACATGACTCAGATGCCTTAGGGAACCCCTGTGAGAAACAGTGATCTAATCCCAGCTTCCCCTTTTGTCCTCTCCTCCTTATTACCCACCCTCTAGAGTCAATAAGTAGAAAAGAACATAAGTATGAAAATACTTTTGAAATGAAAACAGAAAATTAAGCAAATATTCATAACCTACCATATACTCTACTACACAAAATTAAAGAATCTATAGTGTACCAATATCCCACTCAATGTACTCTCCAGCAAAACAATACTGGTCTTAGATAAAGGATCTTATGTTCTTACACTGTGAGCACGGCACTCAGTTCCCCAGGACTCTAAGCAGTGAGTTAGCAAAACACAATCTGCTACCCCATTTCACCAGCAGGACCATGACAGCCGCACACAGCACCGGGGAATCCCCCGGAGCCCTGCTAACCGATCACTTGACAGGAATTCAATTGCTTTCTAGCAAATACATTTAACAAGTCCCTCGGGACTGAAAGAAACGCTCTCCGAAGCATGCTTTGTGTTTCAGTTTTCCATTGCCCAAGGAGAATGGCTCACCCTATTAATAAGCCACTATCCTTAACACTCCACACACAAGAAAATAATGGGAATGAGAATCCACAGCATGAAAGAGCAGCAGAGCTATTTCACGTAATGAAAATTATATGAGGTTTTAATGTATTCTCAGAGGCACTGTTTCAAATCTATTTTTATTTATTTCAGAGAGGGAGAGAGATAGAAACATCAGTGATGAGAGAATCATTGATCAGTTGCCTCCTTCACGCTCCCTACTGGGGATCGAGCCCAAAACTCCGGAATATGCCCTTGACCAGAATCGAACCCGGACTCTTCAGTCCACAGGTCAACGCTCTATCCACTGACCCAAACTGGTTAGTGCCAAGAGGCACTCTTAATAAAATCAAAGCTTTCTTAAGAAAATATAATTTATAAGATAATATACTTTAATCCCCTTTCTTATAATTTCCAAGATTCCATGCTTTGGGGTCGTTTTCAGTTTCCACAGTGAGGTTCTCAGAGTTCACCTTGAATCCTTCCCTGTGGAACAGAACTGACTGTCCTTTCACTGACTATGTTCATAACTGCAGCTGACTTTAGATTAGAACCTTCCTACAAGACAATATTCTTCACAACAGCAAACCTATCTAGGAATGTGTACAGAGGGTTTAAAGGCTTAACATTAAAACCAAAACACATCAGCCCTGAAGGCAATAAGAAACATTGTAGGATTTTTCCATCCATCTCGGCAAATACCAGTAAGGACTTAATCGTTATATTAAAGGTAAAAGGCTGGGGCTGGCTCAGATTTTTTTTTTTAGGATTAGTAGAGCTGACTGCACACAACAGAGTGCATAGGAATCTACAGGACTGTGTGTGTGTTGCATATACAGCTCCTTACTGGCTAGTAAGGGATGGGCATGGATAATGCTGGTCATGCAAGTGGTATGCTGACCTGCTGTCACTAGATCCTAACGTCCTCCACACAGATGCCCTTCACTGAAGCAACGAGGAGAACGCTCACTGTCCTCTCCACAGAGGGAAGAACACAATAATGCCACAACCACTTTCTCTATTTGGTCCCCTAGCTCCAAATTTCAGTGTGCGCCCACGAGTACTCCGTAAGGAACTCCAGTGAGCAGTGCCACACTCAGAGGCCTGGACGCTGTCTGCACCGCACAAGGCAGAACTCCGTGTGGAGCCTGTTCTAACCAATGGGGTCCAGCTCATGTCCTCTCTTCCCTCTGGAGAGTCCCGGGGAAGAGAAACAGGGAGGCGAGGGCAGAACTGTCTTCGAGGGCAGAACACTGACGAAGCAAACTGACAAGCCTGTGACACTGTCATCACTGCTACCCAAAGGCATTGTGGGTGTCCGAAGGGTACATCACTCGAGGAGATAAGACTCAGTTGTAAGCTAACTAACTAGTCATGGAAAAAGCCTCATCAGCATTGTCTTCCTTCACGCTCTCTAACAAGCACCAATAAAACTACGTCTTATCACTAGCCTCCAACGAGCGAGTTCAAAGCGCACTATGAGGCATCATTCTAAAAACTCACCATGAAGCCACCCCTACCCGGCCTCACAGTGGTAATAAGCATCCTGCAAAGTCACGCTCAGGTCGTTTGAAAAGTTTTTTGAAAAGTGATATGAGATGGGGCCCAAAAATAACAACAAAAACCCATTCTACGTTTTCTTACCCATCCCAAACCCACAGTATGCACAGCCATTCACTATTTCTTTTGCTTAAGAATTTCTCAACAAATTATAAGCAACACTGTATGACAGAATGGTATGGCTAACTTCATCACATATCTAATATTAGAAAAAAAAAAAAAAAAAAAAAAAAAAACTTTCTTACAAAATACGAGGAGAGAATCATTGTACAACCAGCCAGAATGGAAGCCAGCACAACGTCGGGCGGGATTTCGGAGCCACTCCTCCCGAGGATAGGGGTGAACATCTCAAACACCGCCCAGATGAGGTATAATGCGTAAAGGTAAGGGATAAACATCCCCACGAGGTAAAAGGCAATGAACTTTCCTCGGGCACCTAGGGAAAAGAGAGAAACCACAGACCTCTGAAACGCCCCGGTGAGATAAGGGTTGTTATAGCACCGTGTGCCCTGGCCTCTATCGGGAATTGGGCTAGGTGTGACTCTTGCCCTTTTGGTTCACGTTATCCAGTGAGATAAAACACTTTCCCTCAGAGAGGCTAAAGTACAAATAACAAACAAAAAAAATACGTAAGTAATATATTATTAGCATGTGTACGTAAATGTGAAAATGGGATAGGGCATAAGGTATGAGATAAAAACCTGCGTGATCTGAAAAATTAAAAAAATAATAAAAATTAGAAAACCTTCCCAGAAAGATGAAATAGTCCCCCAAAGCCTTATCTTATGTGTTTTCAGGTGTTTTCCCATTTGTATCCAAACCAAACACACCGCACCGTGCTGCTGGAAGCCCTTGTGCACACAAAACTTTGTGAGCAGCGGGAACGCCACCCACACGGCACTGATGAATGCCGAGCAGAATCCTCCGTAAATGAGCGCTATGAGGGTGCCGCAGTTCACAAACAGCGCGATGTCAAAGAATACTTCTCCCAGATACTGGTCACTGGCGTTCTGAAAGAGAGGAAAATACTCCGGAGTCTATTCCTGGGCCACTCATAAAGATACTCTATTGTAACATAATCCCCACTGCTCAGAGAAGCTACACATTGTAAGTGGGGTCTAGCCTTTATAAACAAAGCCGCCTCCTATTATGAAACAATAAATTCAAATTGCTGCACAGGAAAGGAGAATTTAACAAGATGGGGTAAAAAAAAAAAAAAAAAAAAAAAAAAAAAAAAAAAAAAAACCATCATCACTTGTATATAACCTGTGCTTTTCCTCCACGGGGCTGTAAGGAAACTTTGAAAATGTTATAAAATAGAAAAAGGAGTCCCCTAAAAACATTCACCTCTGGAAGCTTTCCCGTTTATACAACTTACAAAGAATTTCAGGCAAACTAGGGAAATGACCTGTGAAGGGCGGCACTGCACTAAGTGGATTCAGCCAACAACAGACTGAAAAATTCCTCTAGATATTACATTGTTGCTGATGTGTACTGAACATGCTGCTGACTTTTTTCTTTGTCATTTTCCCCTAAACAATACAGCAACTGTTCACAAACATTTACATTGTTAGAGGGACCTGCTGGTGGTCTGTGAGCTGATTTAAAGTATCAGCGAGAATGTGCTTAACTGGTTTATGTAAAATATTTCACCATTTTATATAAGGGACTTGAGCATCTGAGGATTTTTATATCCCAGCCCCCCTTCCCCATCCTTATCCCTCACCCCTAATCCCCCAGGGACACTGAGGGATGCCTGTATAGGCTGCCGCAGTGCCACCCACAGCACACCAGGTGAACTGTCAGAATCTACATCAACAACATAGAGCTTAAAAAAAAAAAAAAAAAAAAAAAAAAAAGCGAAGGAAACAATGGAGAAAACTTTAAGTGCAGCTGTAAGTGCATTATTCTTTATAAAAAAATATATTTTGTTGATTTTTTTACAGAAAGGAAGGGAGAGGGATAGAGTTAGAAACATGCACACCCCCTACTGGGGATGTGCCCGCAACCAAGGTACATGCCCTTGACCAGAATCAAACCTGGAACCCTTCAGTCTGCAGGCTGACACTCTATCCACTGAGCCAAACCGATTAGGGCTTTGCAGGCGGCAGTGCTGTGTCAGACGCTGCCTCAGCCCAGGGGATAATAAACAAAACGATCCCTGCCCTCATGGAGCCTACGGCCCAGTGGAGAACAGTTTTTCAAACATAAGCAGCTGGCAGATTCAAGAGCAGGGTTACAACAACGGATGCAGATGCAGCAGTGCTGTCACCCCTAACACCCTACAGCTCGGTCACATCTGAAGTCTGCAGGAAAACCTTCAGGCTAAGAAGCCTTTCGGAAATGTGACACAGCTCTGGGAGCCAGTTTCCTAGGACCATGCCATCCAATTTTTGGTGGCGCAAAAGGCCAAGTCGGGCCGTGTATGGAATCTGTGCTTTTCCTCCCCCGGGGAAAGCCACTCGAGGAAGTCACTGCGATGGCAGTTCCATCGCATTATAATGAGCTGGAATGTCCTGTCGGCCTCGGGACATCACAATGCACCGCCCCGCCTCTGTGTGACGCTGCGCAGCCGTTCGGTGAGCGCACAGCACAGGCGGTTCCTGCAGCAGCTACACCACCCGGGTTTGCGTTTGTGCGCCGCCGGGTGAGGTTGCACGACGATGAGACCGCCTAATGGCCTTTTCTAGAATGCATCCCATGGCCACGTGGCCCGTGGCTGCCCAACGAGTCCCATGATTGAGTTTGTCTTCATTCCTTGAAGGCAGCAAACAGAAATCGATAAATGTGCTGACCACTTACCACATAGTAAAACCTTTTTGCCAGGGTGTGTATGAATATTATCTTGGCTGCAGCAGCAGTTCCGTAAAGACAGACGGAGACATAGAAGTGGTTGTACCATGAGAGAGACTGTCCGATCAGAGAGATGAACACGGCTATGATGAGGACGGTCACCAGGCTGGTGAACCAGCCTATCACGGTGATGCCAAGCCCACAGAAGAAGTCCTTCGGGTAGTGAGCTGCTGAGGAAGAGAAGCACAATGTGGAGACGGCCATCTGTATGTACCACACAATTTCACAACCAGTCAGCAGGGTCAGAGGGGCACACGTTAAATCGGAAAATCTGCCATGTAACTGAAAGGTGTTGAAACGACCCAGGGATAAGATTTGTTAAATACTAGAACTGGGAAGGTGGAAAGGAATAATATTCAAGTAACATTGACGGAGAGTTTGTGGGTGTTAAAAGACTCAGAGATAATCTTTCGGGACTACTTCACAATCACTGGGTCGTCTTAATCTTTGTCCGTTCGGGATGCTTTGTGTATCGAACTCTCAGCAAGAATGGAAAACAAAGTTCCACCTAAAATTTTGCTGAAAGAAGCTATCCTAGGAAAAGCAGCAGCACAGAGAATAACTGGTGAGTAAGGGTTATTTAAATTAGCTGCTGAATATTTTATCTCTTGACAGCAGATACCTGCTTAGACTGTAAAGCATTTCAAGCAGAAGGGGGCCCATGTAACTAGCGGTAGTTCCCTCACACTTCAGAACAGTGTGCTGACCTCATGTTTTCATGGGGCTTTTCACTAAAAGTCCATCTGTACTGTTTTCAGTAGTTCCTATGCGGTACTTCTGAGACATGTATTAGCACATAAAAACTGTCTGTTTCACCAAGACTGAACACATAATGAGCACATTAATCTGATATTCATGAAGAGGTTTCTTACGTTACAAATCAAATAGTATTTTTCTTAGGATTTTCAATGTCTTGGAAAGATAAAGCAAACTGACCAAAAAAAAACTTCCGGCAAATTCTACACCCGGGCCAGGACTGTGGTCCTGGGGGAAAATACTCACTGTTATGTTTGGGCTGCAACAACTTTTTGCCCAGGTACAGGACAGCAGCCGCCAGCACCATGCAGTTAATGATGGAGCCGACACGGGAGGGGTAGGCAATGACAAACAGGCCGAGCACATCAAAGAAGACCATGTTCCCATGCCGGTACTTAGAGGAAGAAACCAACACATCAGATGTAGCTAGATACTTAAGAACTGCTAAAATGTTGTCACCTATCAGTAAAGAAAAGAAAGATAAAGTTGAACAAGCCATCCAGTATCTGAGTCAAGAAACACCTATCAAGAACGTGATAAGAAATAGCTTTCTACCATCTTGCTCGGCCCCACTTTCTTACTAAATTTTTCAAATAAGCTCCAAGCTTGTACTCCACTTCCTCTCCACCTATAGACTCAGCCAAATGGCCTTCATCCTCTCCCTTCCATTAGAACTATATTTACTGTGACCAGCCATACCCTTGCTGTTGACAAACTCAATGGCTGTTTCTTGGTGCCTGTTCACTTACTATATATGTAATGCAGTCAATGCTGCTCCAGACACCACAATTCAGTGGTAAGCCCAGAGACAAAACCTCTCGTGAAGCTCACGGACACCAAACCACAAGTTAGTATGCAAGTTATTAAGAATTAATAAGGAATGTCAATTGTATCTGAATAAAAATAATTAATAAGGAGCGGTATGAGAAGTCCCTAGAAATAGATCGTGGGAGACTAGTGGAGTCTGGGGGGTCAGAGAAGCATCCCGGAGGAAGTGGTGTGTGTAGCTCGCACAGTGGGGGGACTGTCCAGCCAGAAGTGTGGAGAGGCAGGCCCCGAGGAGGGAAAGCCCCAAATACAGAAACAGGAGTCATGAGTGAGGAGAGAGACTGCTCGGCAATGACGGGGAGGGTCGTTATCACGCAGAGCCTGGCACATCAGAGGTAATGAATGTTTGCTGTGTCAGTGAAAGAATGAATGAGCTTGAGCTTTAGCACAGGAGTAACGAAAAGCCCTGAATGACTGGCATTTCTTCCGCTTGCCCATCCCATCCCGGACTTTCTCTTCTTTCCACTTCAGACACCACACTGCCTTACCACAGGATTTCCTACACTGCCTCTCCGGGCTCCCTACAAATGTGTAAATGGGACTTTAAAAGCTCAAGTGTAATCCTCTACCTTTGCTTTGCTCTCCCAAAAAAACATTTCCATCCTCCATACTTGTATTCTCTATGCTGTTCACACCCAAACCCATTTACCAGCTCCTCCGAGAGCTCTGAACGGCCTGTATGGTCATCTGGTCGGTTCACAGTCCTATGGGTCTCACAGGGTTCCTGGTGTCCTTCCCTTCCCTGTTCCTGATCTGGATGAGGCTCCCACAACCCTATTACAGTCCATAGCATCGTCTCTTCTGGCCAGCTAAGCTTTATATTTTGTAATCATTGTTGCTGCCATCCATCTGATTCATCCCTTCTATCTAACTTGTCAAGTCTTGTTGAATTTACATTAAAATGAATCCCCTTTCCTTTCTATCTTTTGTCAACACCACAGTCTAGGTCCTCATTGTTCCACACTTAAATTATTGTCTCCCGGCTTCAATTACCTCATTCATGGCTCTCCTCGTTCTCCACCGTCCACTCCCGAGAGCATCGTGAGACTCACAGCATTTAGAGCCATCATTCATTCATGTACTCAGGCCTTTCATGATCCCTTATTTCTACAGCATCTCCTGGCTGATTTGTAAAGCTTTCTACCATTTTCTCTACCCTCACACTTATACCTCATTTCCTTTTATTGCTGAAAATACAGCTTCCATTAGACTGCCATCTGTCCACCTACTCACCAACAGCTCCCACAACCACAACTCACAAGCACACTCTACCCCGTGCTGTGCTCTTACTGGGAATGTTGGGAATGTAATCCCCACTAGGCCAAATCCCAACTCTTTAAGGCTCAGTATCAGACTTACCTCCCCTCACCACCCACCTCTCTGGAGAGCACGTGAACTCCCTTGCCATGTTCTGATACGTGTCCTCTAACCCTCACCTCCCAACCTTGGATCGATGTAACTTTTTTGCACCTGGACAAGATACCCAAATGTGTTGGTGCCACCTCCAAAGCACAGCTTCCATTTTAGCTAGATGGGATCCTAGATAACTCAGCAATCCCACCACAACCCTGGGTCAACCCCTTTCCCATTCCCCCCCATGAATAATGCTCTTACTCGCTAATCTAGTCTTCCAGGCTACATTTAAGTCCTCGGATCTCTAACTCCAAAGCCCCAGCTCATTCACACCATACACTGCCTCCCTAATGCTCGGGCCACGAAATATTAATATTTATAGATTTATAGGTCATCCCTAATATTCCATCTTACCATGTATGAAAAGTCTAAATTAGAGTACTAACCTGCTCTCTGAATGGAATCTGTTAGAATTCTGTCCGCTGTGTCGTACTTGGTGTGATAAATGTATCCGTTTTCAATAAAAGCTAAGTCTATTCCTAAAACATACACAAAAAAAGGTCATTTTGCTTTAAAAATCAACTTGATTTAGACCTATTTATTTAACGTATTAAATTAAATTCCTAAAAGACAAAATGTCAAAGCAGCAGCATGATTGTTCTGTCCCATTTATGAATGAAATCCCCTTCCAAAAGCTTCCAGGATCTACAGCTGTGGTGTGTAATTCAAAACACGAGTGAGGAGGCACACGGCTGCACATTAAAGTCCCACTGCAAGGAGCAGGAATACTGAGCTTGGCACCTCCTCGAAGCTTTGCCACCTACAGCCTTGCCAGGCCAAAGCCAAATTTAACTTCAAATGGGCGGTACAGTCCACCAAGGCTGCTGGCAAAGCAAAACAGCAATGAAAGTCAAACCCTCCCCGAACGATCTACTATTATCTTTTGGGAACAAACTGCTGAACAGTTCTCAGTTCTCCTGTGGCACTGTGGGGCCAGGTGACATGTTCTAAAAAAGGCAAACACTTTAGAGCAGAATTTAAAAGAAAAGGAAAATACCGGAAGCTTAGTTTCAGTGAGTCAGGAAGCACAGTCCTCACAGAGAATGTGCTCAGAAAATGCTGTCTATGCACAGACTTCCAAAGTGGAAAACTTGCTATGAATTAAGCATCGTCACGCTGCAGCCCACAACTGACAGAATACCTGGAATGTTCCCAAAGTCCCTGTAGATGCGGAAGTCGGTGTCTGAAGGAATGATGCCACTCTGGAAAACCTCCTGAGCCACCACAGATGCAAAAGGATGTTTGGCTGTGGAAACGTACGCTTGGACCAACCAAGGATTTTCAGGACCTGAATGAAATGAAACATGACAACATAACCTTTCAGAAAATAAAATTATTTTTAAATATAAAATAACACCATAATAAGTTTTGTTTAAAAATTAAAATTCACTCAAAAGTCCCATCATCCTAACTTTTCAAATCTTCAATTTTTTAAAAAAAAATATATTTTTATTGATTTTAGAAAGGAAGGGAGAGGGGGAGAGAAACATCAATGATGAGAATCACCGATCGGTTACCTTCTGCACGCTCCCTACCAGGAATCAAGCCCATAACCCAGGCGTGTGCCCTTGTACTGGAATCGAACCGGGGACCCTTCAGTCCGCAGGCCAACACTCTATCCACTGAACCCAACTGGCGAGGGCCATATCTTCAATTTTTTAAAAAATGTATGATTACGCCGAAACCGGTTTGGCTCAATGGATAGAGCGTCGGCTTGGGGACTGGAGGACCCGGGTTCGATTCCGGTCAAGGGCATGTACCTTGGTTGCGGGCATATCCCCAGTAGGGGGTGTGCAAGAGGCGGCTGGTCGATGACTCTCTCTCATCGATGTTTCTAACTCTCTATCTCTCTCCCTTCCTCTCTGTACAAAATCAAATAAAATATATTTAAAAAATAAAAAAATAAAAATAAATAAAAATAAAAAAATGTATGATTGTGTATATGTAGCTATACTCACAGGGTATATATAATTGTAAATTGCTCTTTTTTAAAAATATATATTTTATTGATTTTTTTTTAATGGAGAGGAAGAGAGAGGGATAGAGAATTAGAAACATCGATGAGAGAGAATCATCGATCGGCTGCCTCTTGCACACCCCCTACTGGGGATGAGCCCGCAACCAAGGCACATGCCCTTGACCGAAATTGAACCTGGGAACTTTCAGTCCGCAGACCGACACGCTATCCACTGAGCCAAACCCGTTTCAGCATAAATTGCTCTTTCACTAAACATTATGTTCAATGCTTTTCCTATGTTGCTAGATATTACAATGGTCATTTCAATAACTGCAAATCACCGAATATACCACAAAGTTCCTTATTACTATTTATAACTTTTATCATTATTAATAACTAGAGGCCCAGGGCACGAATTTGTGCATAGGTGGGGTCTGGCCGGCCTGCCCGATCCGGGCCCATCAGGCTAGGCCAGCCTGGGGGAGGGGCCGCAGGTAGTTGGTTGGCTGGTCTGCCCCCAATTAGGGGCAGGGCTGGTTGGGGTGAGGGGCTGCAGGTGGCTGGCCGGCTGGCCCTGCCTTCTGGTCAAAATCCCAGCTGAGGGGATAATTTGCCTATTAGCTTTTTATTATATAGGATTCTGCACTCATATCTTCATACAGATACAACTTTTTTCAGATGTGGCCTTTTTCTCTTTAGGACAGAGAGAGAAGGTGTATTTCTGTTCCCCGTTCCTCCCTCCTCCTCCCATTAGCTTCCTCCCTGTGGAAGCAGCACGGACATTTCTTCACCCTGTGACCGGCAGGCTCAGCCACAGGAACCGCTGTGGCAAGTTAATTCTGAATGAGGGAGAATGAAACTTAACCGAGGAGACTTCTCAGAGCACCACATGGTCCATTCCTTTGGCCATGAGATCAACTCATCGCCCACTGGGGCGTCTCCTTCAGCCTGGATCTCAGCATGCATAAGACACGTGGGACAGAATAACCGTGAAACACAACTTCAGTTATCCAGCAACCAAACTGTAACGCCAGGAAGAAATAAGCCTTTGCTACTTATTATAACTCACTGAGATTCAGGGTTGTTTGTTACAATAAAATTTAGCAAAAAGCTGAGGAATGTTGACAGATAAGATAATTGTATGCCAGCTCTAGATTTGCTTGTTGAATGTGCTCGCTCTCCCCCATCGGAAAATCTTGTTTTGCCACCACTCACTGAACTTTTTTTTTACTTTCTTTCTTTCTTTCTTTCTTATGTTTCTTTTCTCCATGGCATGATTCAGTTTTTTATTTTTATGTTTTTATTTGGGGGTTCTGGTTGTTTTTTGCTTTTATCATTTTATTTTTTCTGTTTTTAGCCTTCATTTTTCCATGGTGTTTTGAGGATTAAGTGGCATATATATATATATATATACACACACACACACACACACACACACACACACACACATATTTCCATCCTATATAATAAAAAGCTAATATGCTGATTAGACATGACGGCAGAACAACCTACACACACACATACACATATATATGTGAAGTACTTTGAACATTTGGCATATAATAAGCACTACATAAGTATTAGGTGCTATTATTATTATTTGGTTAAAAATTTTAACAAAGACAAGCTAAAACTATCATATGCTTTAAAAAGAATGTTCAGCCCTAATCGGTTTGGCTCAGTGGACAGAGCATTGGCCTATGGACTGAAGGGACTCAGGTTTGATTCCAGTCAAGGGCATGTTCCTTGGTTGCAGGCACATCCCCAGTGGGCACCTGATCGATGTTTCTAACTGTCTATCCCTCTCCCTTCCTCTCTGTAAAAAAAAAAAAAAAAAAAAAAAAAAAATCAATAAGATATATATTTTTTAAATGTTTGTTTCATTAGAGAGATAGCTTATTTTCACAAATGTTCCGCTTTTATAAAAACAAGAATTACATTAAACTATCAATGCAACTGCATTCAAATATAAAATACAGGGTGGGGCAAATGTAGATTTACAATTGTCCATATGGGAAATAATACAATAATTAGTAAGTAATAATACAAGAATACAGTTTGTGTTTCATGTACTCACAACTGTAAACCTACTTTGTCCCATCCTGTAAAGTCTCACATACCTGTTTGGAATACAAGTTCTTTCCCTCCTACCCCTGCTGCCTCCAGGTTAATAAATGCACGAATTGAGTTGGCCCAGGAGTGCTGAGTAATGAAACCATGACTGGCCTGAATGAGAAAGAAAGAAAACAAATAGAAGTTAAACAATTTGAGATTATCAAAGTCTCTATTTTGCTTAAAGACAGAACATCTATGTTGACAAGGGGAAGAAGAGGAAAACAATCATTTCTTTAAAGACAATATCTAAAGACACACATCTGTTTCTCTCTCACTGCATCACGGCTGTGTGCAGTTTGCTGCGTGGAAAGTCACCACCACAGAAAACATCCTGGTTTCCGTGAGGGCGCCAAACAACATCCTCCGTGTGAGGCTACGCACAAGAAAGAAAGAAAGAAAGAAAGAAAAACAACAACAAACACGGGAAGGGATGACCCCCGTGGTTGAGTGTTCACGCTGTGTGCCTGCCTCAAAACACCTCAGAAACTGCAGTCAAAGAAAACCTGAGGTGCATAATTATGCCATCACACTGACAAGAATCAAACACTGACAAGATGATCTGTTATCAGTTGAGGTTTTCAAATACTGAACATCCTATATAATAAAAGCGTAGTATGTAAATTGTCCCCGGACGGGGAGTTGTCCAGGAGTTCGACCAGAAGGCGGGGCTGGCTGGGGGAAGGGAAGGAGACCCTAGCAGGTGGCGACAGGCGACCAGGGGAAGGGAAGGAGTACCCACCTGGTGACCTGTGGCCGGCAGCCAGCAGCCACTAGGGACCCTTCCAGTGCACAAATTTCATGCACTGGGCCTCTAATGTATACAGAAGTGGCTGTAGAATTGTTATAGTACTGCAGGTACAATATTTCTTCTGTACATGATTTTATGATAGTATTCAAATGAAGAATCAAAATGCATAAGTTATTAATATTACTATCATTATTATCCAACCCTAGTACTTACAACAGCAAAATCTCACCTGCAAAACATTTTCCTCAGCACCGTTAAAGAGAAATATGACAGCATGATGCAAGGCCTCCGAGGATGTGGACAAGACATGGAGGACTTCCAGCATCACCGAACAGCTAACAGCATCATCGCTGGCACCTTTAAATAAAAACAAATTAAAAAAACAGACTTGCTCCTCAGATTTTAAAATCTTTACAGTATGAAGCATCAGGGCAAGGAATGGGGTTTTCTCATCAGGGAGCATCACAGAGCTACCAGACCAGAAGCACAGCTCCATCTGTCACCATCCTGTGACATCATCCTCACCAGCAGTAAACGCCACAAGAACAGGGATCTTTGGTTTGCTGGTTGACTTACTCTCAGTGTCTAGAACTATACCTAGGCCAGAGTATGAATGTCTGTGGAATAATCAACCAGATTAGACTAAATTAGTACTAAAATCTGGCATTCTCTCCTCTGGCTGGTGTGGCTCAGCTGGTTGTAGCATCATCCTATACAAGGAAAGGTCAAAGGTTCGATTCCCCATCAGGGCATAACCTAGATTTCTGTTCCATCCCTGGTCAATGTGCTCACTCGCACATCGATGTTTCTCTCTTTCTCCATCTCCCTTTCTCTCTCAAATCAATAAAAGCATGTCCTCAGGTGAGGATTAAAATAAAATAAAATCTGATATCCTCATTAACCTAAAGTACTTTATTCCCTTCTTTATCCTTATTCCACATCCTCTATAATATCCTCACTTCCAGTGCTCACAGCTTCCTAGATCATTTCCCCCTGCCACCTACTCCTTTCCTGCCTGTTTTCCTGCCAAAATCATAAAATCTTCAAGTCATTCGCATTTACAGAGGGGTCAGTTGGGATGGTATAACATTTTTTAAGATTTCTCCAAGGAGATGTAATAAAAAAAAAAAAAAAATTTTTTTTAAAAGTACAAAGAAGACACCAAATCTAAAAAGACAGAGGAGGCTAATGAATTGAGTAGTATCCCTAGTCCTAGCACTGATAAAGCAGAGGACTTCGTCAAATCACTTTACTTCTCCATTCGGAAGCTTTACATGTTAATTAATAAAGGTGATTATAAAGATGGCTTTAGTGCCTTGATTTTTTAAAGCACTGTAAGAGGTAAAGTAACTGATTAGATACTTGATGATATTAAGGAATTCTTTTTTTTTTAAATATATTTTATTGATTTCTCACAGAGAGGAAGGGAGAGAGATGGAGAGCTAGAAACGTCGATGAGAAAGAAACATTGACCAGCTGCCTCTTGCACACTCCCCACCGGGGATGTGCCCGCAACCAAGGTACATGCCCATGACCGGAATCAAACCCGGGACCTTTCAGTCCGCAGACTGACGCTCTATCCGCTGAGCCAAACCGGCTTCAGTAGGAATTCTTATTTTTTAAATGAGCTAATTAATAGTACGATGAGCATGTCAAGCAAGAGTCCTCATCTTTCAGTGATTTAGACTGAAATACAGGGAAACGGATACAGCTGAGATCTGCTTCAAAATAATTCAGAGTGGCAGGGATGGAGGTAAAGAAACTAATCAGACTGCCGAAGCTGGGTGACACTAAGCAGGTTCATTAAACAATTCTGTCGACGTAGATAGGCACAGTAATAACCCAGACAATAGCATCTTCAGTCTTACCCACTGGGAGGCGGGACGCTTCAGAGTTTAGCAGGGGTTTTGTTTTGTTTTTTAATCCTTACCAAAGGACATGCGAGAGGGAGAAAGGGAGAGAAACATAGATGTGTGAGAGAAATAGCAATCCGTTGCCTTCCACACGTGTGCACAGGACGACGCTCAACCAACTGAGCTACTCTGTCTGGGCCGTTTAGGATGGTGGTTAAGGTAAGAAAGACTTGGAAATAAATCCTACTTCTGTCATTTACCTACAACTTCCTGGCTGAGAGAGCAGGCTACTGACATCTACCTCACAGGTGTGTTGAGAGGATTACAAAATGACATGACCGGCATTCAATGTTAGTTTTTCCTTCTCTTTGCAAACTTAAGGAGGGCTCTGTGGCGAGGTAAATTCTTGTGGTGGTGGTGGTGTTAAATTCCAGACTCCATTCCTGCTAGAGAAGAAACTACTTATTACCTATCATTACTTGTCTTGGCAGTGAATACTGAATTGCACTTTAAATCCAAGTGAAACTAAGTAATAACTACTTAACTACTATCAAACCAGAAGTAGATGTAAATAGCAGTCAGTAAAAACTGCCACCTTCCAGGATCCAAACGAAATGAATGGTTTTTGAACTCTGAGACTGTGAGTTACTTTAAATTAAAACTCAAGCCATTAAAAATGTTCTTTATTCAAAGAGAAAGGGAAATAGAAAGAGACATACCTATACAGGGTTGACTTAAAAATTAAACTGTCCATTTATCTTCCTTCATTTCAATGGTTCTGTTGTCTGGGAACAGAACCAGAGAGGGTCAAATATCTTTAAGAAAGTGAAGGAAAGTTAGAGAGCAGTATCTATAGTGGCTGAGTGGATAACCAACATCCCTTTCTATTTAGAATGAACCCAGAAATTGAAGCCACACCTAAAATAACTCAATGTCTATCTACCAACACCCTGGAACCACGCAGCCAACCCAAGAAAACATTTAAGTCCTTTCTGTGGGAAACATTACTTCTAATGGGTAATGATCCCTAAGGTCCAGATATGTTGCTAAGAACAACTTGAAAAGAATGCCCGGCCAAACTGGTTTGGCTCAGTGGATAGAAGGGTCCCAGGTTCAATTCCAGTCAGGGGCATGTGCCTTGATTACGGATACATCCCTGGTAGGGGGTGTGCAGGAGGCAGCTGGACGATGTTTCTCTCCCATCGATGTTTCCAGCTCTCTGTCACTCTCTCTTCCTCTCTGTGAAAAATCAAAAAAATATATTTTAAAATATATAAATAGATAAATAAATAATAAAAGAATGCCCATGTTTCAATTAGTTCACACACTGAAAAGATTTAGGTGATCATCTATTTTATGAGTGTGTTTTTTAAAACTATTTTTAGCAATTTATTATTGACAGAAATGTCCTTGGGACTGTTGGTATAGGTGATCTTATAAAATTTTAATTTAAAATGAGTTCCAATGACTCACAAAAATGCCATCCTTTCATTATTGGATTCCATATATATAATTTGTAGCATTTGGCACTATGTTTCTGATGCTTGTATGCACATCTTTTTTTATACAATGCTCTTAAATAACCTTGATGTTAATTTTTCCTGTCTTAGAATTTAAGCATCATAATAGTGGGCACAGGGTGACACTTATTACTGCTTTGAAACAAGCATAGAAGACACTGGTTTGAAACCCTAGCACACACAAAAATATTTCTGACTTTATAAAAACAAATGGGGCCAAAACTGGTTTGGCTCAGTGGATAGAGCATCCGTTGGCCTGTGAACTGAAGGGTCCCAGGTTCAATTCCGGTCAAGGGCATGTACCTTGGTTGCAGGCATATCCCCAGTAGGGGGTGTGCAAGAGGCAGCTGATAGATGTTTCTCTCTCATCGATGTTTCTAACTTTCTATCCTTCTCCCTTTCTCTCTGTAAAAATCAATAAAATAAAATGGTAATTAAAAAGCATGTTATAGACTGGCCAGTATGGCCCAGTGGTTGAGCATGACCTATGAACCAAGAGGTCACCAGTTCGATTCCTAGTCAGAGCACATGCCCAGGTTGCTGGCTTGATCCCCCAGTGCAGGGAGGGGGGGAGAAGAGGGTGGGAAGGGGAAGGAGTGGTGCAGAAGGCAGCCCATCAATATTCATTGATGTTTCTCTCTATCCCTCTTCCTTCCATTCTCTAAAAAAAAAAAATCAATAAAAACATTAAATTAAAAAAGCATGCTACATTCTAAATGCAATTGGCAAGCTTCCTGGTTAAAGATGTCCTAGGATGAATCAAGCAAATAAATGTTATTTTATATTTTGTGTAGTTCTAGATTATCATATTGGGCCTGCTGTAGTTTTAAGCAATCCAGAAATATTAATATTAAATAACAATTAATAGTGGGGGAAATGCTAATAGAAAAGCATTATTATCTCCACTTCACAGATCAGAAACTGAGGAGAAAAGAGGTTAAGGAGATTGCCAAAGGAGCATTAACTCTCCTTCCTTTCCAATGTAGATGGAAGAACTGACTGGCCGGGAATCCCAGCAACTGGCCCTACCTCTGTCTCTGATTGGTGCTGATCAGTAGTTTATTCTTGTGTCAAGTGAACGGCAGAGAAGGGACGGAGTTTGAACCAGAAGCCATCTCAGATCTTGTCTACCTCTAACCTGCTACGATTCCATTGTAAAACGCTACAATTTCCTATTCCTCCCTGCTTACATCTCTTTCACAATTACTAAAAACGTTTTTCTCATGAATCTTACATTTTTTAATGAAAGTTCAACTTAGGGGGATTCTCATTCGTTCAAAATATTTATTGTGTCAGGCACTGTCGTAAAATCAAGTATCCTATTTTGACAAAGTATATATTTTCAGAGGAAGTTTTATGGATTAATGGGGCATTCTAACAGAACGGCATCCCCCGGGGGCTGTCACTTTACAGGTTGACAGAAACTGCTGGGAAAGATGTCCTCCAAACCCTGTGTCTGCGAAGGCAAGGCCTGCTCCTTTAGCCTATGTCCCCAAAGCTTAGCACAGTGCCTAGGTGGCTAAACACTTAAAGAGGCAGAACCTAACTCCAGAAATCAGGGACACATGTTGGTAACACTGATAAAGCTGCTTCAGTCTACCACCAACATGCCATGTCCTGTCCTTGGGCTGCTGGCACTAATCCTATATAATAAAAGCCTAATATGCAAATCAACTGAACAGTGGAACCACTGGTCACTATCACACGCACTGACCACCAGGGGGCAGATGCTCAATGCAGGAGCTGCCCCCAGACTGCAGGCCCCAGGCCAGCCAAGGCAGGTACCAGCGGGGATCCCCCAATCTCCCCACCAGTCACCCCACAGATCAGCCCTGATCGCCAGCCATGCCTAAGGACCCTACCTGGTGCGTGATTTCATGCACCAGGCCTCTAATCTATACATATAAAAGCCTAAGCGGCCATTCAACCAGTAGCTATGATGCACAATGACCACCAGTGGGCACTCAATGCACGGACATGGAAAAATGCAACAGAATGATGAATATCAGAGTCAAGGGGGGAGGAGGATGGAAAGAGATTAACCAAAGATTTTATATGCATACTAGAAGCTGACCTGGCCTGCAGGGATCAGGCCAAAACCGGCCCAGTGCACGGATTCGTGCACCCGTGGGGTCCCTCAGCCTGGCCTGCGGGGATAGGGCGGAATCCGTGCACCTGGCTCCTAACATCCCCCGGGGGTCCCGGATCGTGAGAGGGCACAGGCCATGCTAAGGGAAGCCACCGGTGCACGAATCTGTGCACTGGCCTCTCGTGTTTAATAATGATGATAAAGCACTTGAGAGAATAGCAGGGGGTTAAATCTTAAACTAAATGATACTATTCTAATTATCCTAGCCTGCCAAAACTAAAAAGGCTTGCCCAAGAAAAGGATATCCCAGAATTGACCAAGCAGCTTGGCATTCATAAGCTTTCTGGACTGGGATGACTTCAAGTACACTGAAAAAACGGGCACATACCTGGTGAGTTTGCCACAGAGTCAAAGTGACAATTAGCCAGAACAGCGTGCTGGGCTCCATCTCTGGGTTCCAGCTTTACCACCACGTTGGTGATGTTGTCATAGTAGCTTGTAAAACCTCCCAAAAAGTCAATGCTGAAGGAGCCTGTGGGCCGCTGTACATCTACTGAAATCTTGTGTAGGCTGTTGCTTTGAACTTCAATCAGTTTAATCTGTTCCAAGAGGTAATGCACGGTCAGGATTTCATTTTCTGGACTCCCTGTTGTCCTGGGGCCAATGGATGTTATGTGTTCAAGATGATCCCTGGAAGTCACCAAAAGAATGATGATTAACACTTAGCACAGAACAACTTTTCCTCTGAACTCCCCTCACCCTGCAAAACAAGTTCTTTCACTTCTCACATAAAAAAGGGTATCTGCCCTGACTGGTTTGGCTTGATGGATAGAGCATCGGCCTGTGGACTGAAGGGTCCCGGGTTCAATTCCGGTCAAGAGCTTGTACTTTGGTTTCGGGCACATCTCCAGTATGGGATGTGCAGGAGGCAGCTAATCGATGTTTTTCTCTCATCGATGTTCCTAACTTTCTATTCTTCTCCCTTCCTCTCTGTAAAAAAAAAAAAAAAAAAAAAAAAAAAAAAAAAAAAAAAAAAAAAAATCAATAAAATATATAGTTTTTTAAAAAGGTATCTTCTTTGGGGAAACACTTGATGAAGTATATGACTGTCTAACCACTATGCTGTAGACCCAAAATTAATACAAAAAATATTGAATGTAGACAATAATTGAAAAAATGAATTTAATTTAAAAATAAAACATAATTTTTTAAAAGGTTGCTTTTTATCTTTTCAGGAACGTTCCATCATTTCATCTCCCACAAATGCATCCCTTCAGAGTTTTCCCTACCTCCCCTTCCCCCAACTCCAAATTCTCTCAATCCTCATACAAAGACTAGAGATTCTATTCAAAACGTGTAAATGCTGAAGACGAGACAGCACAGAGTGCAATTTCATGGTGCCACACTCTGGAGGGCTAGTGATTCTAGGTTGGGGAAACCAGTGAGCAGAGACAATTACGTCAAGAGGTTAAACAAACAAGCAAAACTTTTTTATTGTAAGGAATGGGCTCAGCCCTCCTATTGTGCACGCAAGACCTAATAACTTCAATTCAGGCCAAAACTAACTCTACTCCTAACACACACACACACACACACACACACACACACACACACACACAATTGTTTTGTCTTTTCACTGCATTCCAAGTGGGGAGAAAGGGGGGGGGGGGGGGAGGAGGCTATTCCGGAAAGCCCTTAATATTCGAAAGAAAAAGTTTTTAAAACACAATCAGTGTTGAAAACTCTGCTAGCTGGAGATTTTGCGCTGACACTGACGCTACAATACATTTGACCTCATCACCTTTCTAGCACACTTATGGTGTCTTCTAAATTTTTTTTTTTTTTAAAGTTAAACCTTACACACCAGGGACCCAAGAATAACCGCCGGGAATCTGAGAGCTTCTGAAATTGTAAAAATGTTTGAAGTGAATGTAGTCTTCCAGGCTGGAGCCTCCATAGCGTGCAGACGTGAGGACTGTGACCTTTCTCAAAAAGGTGGACCTCTGGCTGCATGATCCCCTTCCCATAAATCCCCAGGAACCGAATTAACAAAACCGGCTAGGGCGCACAAATTTCATTTGGAAAGCAGAAGGGATTTAAAAAAAAAAAAAAGGGGGGGGGGGGGGGGGGGAAAGCTGCTCCTGAAGATGAGGGACGGCTAACCAGCAAACCGTCTGCAGGTGGGGCAGCACGGGAGCGGAGTGCCGGCGCGCTCCCCTGGGCCACCCGCGCCTGCACCACCAGCTCAGCAGCGGGCAGTGCCAGCCCGCCAGCCCCGCGCCCTGTACATCGGGTCTCCAGGCAGGGACGCGCCAGGGCACCCACCGCACCCCACCGCACCGCACCGCACCGCGCGCGGACGCAGGTGCGCCGGCGAGCCCGGGCGGTCCCGCGGGGCGGGTGCCCAGGTGCGGTCTCCAGGTGAGGGGACGCGCGGGCGGGACGGCGGCCCGTACCTGGCTTGGCGCGCGTCGAACTCCCGCGGGTGGCCCGGGGCCCCGCGCAGCACGAGCTGCTGCAGCGACAGCTGCACGAGCGTCCGCAGCGCGAGCAGGTAGAGCGCCAGCCCCAGCGCGGCGCGCGCCTCGGACAGCCCGCTCCGCGCAGCCCCGCTCCCGCCGCCGCCGCCGCCGCCCGCCCCGCTGCGCTTCCGCGTCCTCCCGCCGCCGCCGCCGCCGCCGCGCGCGTCCGCCAGGCTCTCCGGCGCCCGGGCCTCCCGCTCCGGCAGCGGCGGCGCGGCGGCCGGGCCGTCCCGGCGCTCGCCTCCGACGCGGTGCCGCCTCACGGCCGCCGACTCCGAAACCCACTCCATGGCCACGAGCCGCCGCCGCCGCCGCCGCCAGCCCCAACAGCCCCACAGCCCGCGACAGCCCGGGAGCAGCGGGGCCGCCGCAGCGCCGCCTAGTGAGCGGACGGAACCTGCAGAGGGCCAAACTTGTTCTGATTGGCCCGTCCCGCCCGCCGCCCGCGCGCGCGGACACCGGGCTCTGCGGGCAGCTCCTCGGTGGGCACCGCGGCAGGGCAGGGCAGGGCAGGGCGGGCCCGGGCGGGGCGGGCCCAGGTTAGGCGTGGTGGGTGTGCCTTTCTCCTGCGGCTGGGCTCCCCTGCCAGGTGTAGGATGGAGATTTCCAAATGGAAAGATACCCATCCACCTAGAAACCTGAGGAAAGCGAGAGATTGCGTTTAAAAGTAGGCGGATGGGGTGCAGCAGGCAGGTGAAGAAGGCCCAGCTTTCCTAAGCAGCATCAGAACCGTCTCTGGACATTGTAGGCTTTGAAAATGGGGGAATAATATTATAATAATAAGACCGCGCAAAGGAGGCCTAGACTCATGCTTCCGCATAGCTTAACCGTGGGAGGTAACCAGCATTATCACTGCCTCCATGAACAGCGGAAGAAAAAGAAGAGCTAATGCCTGCCACGGCCCAAGCGCTGTGCTAAATGATTTAATATATCAACTCACTCGAGTCTCATAAGACCCATGAAAGGGAAAAACTTTTATTCCCATAATAGCCGAGAAACTTACAAGGAGCAGCTGATGGACTTTAAGACAGTGGGCTCTCCAAACAGCATTCTATCCCAGGACTGAAGGTGGCCCTCTGGAAAGCGACCGCCTAGTCTTCTTTCTGCCTCAAAGTTCTGTGTCTCCAGCATGGACTTCCAGGAGCCCCTGGATCATTAACCTGGAGACCAACTGGGAAGGCGCACTCCCCTACCTGCCTGCCTGCCCGACCTTACCTGCTGCGCAGGCCCACCTGACCTCAGGCTGCTCCTTGTTCTCAGCTCTCCAGCTGGCCTCTTTCAAAATCCTCCCTGCTCTCCCATCTCTCCTTCTCCAACAGGATCATCTCACCTGCTGGCCGAGCTGCCCGGAATGTTCTTCCCTCCCCTCGTTGCCTAGTTAACACCTATTCAGCATACGTGGTACTTCCACAAGCAAGCATCTCCTCACCTCATGAAGCCAGCGCCCCCTATTTGTAGGACCTCACGGCGCCATGGGTGCTATGTAATTATGAAATGTTCTCCTCGTTAGACGGTAAGCCCCATGAAGGCATGAATCATGTCTGGCTCTGCTCATCCTTCCATCCCCTGCTCTTCACACAAAGCATGACATGCAGCATGTAACCAATAGGCAGTTGTTGATTAAATAAATGACAGCGTAACAATGGTATGGCAGCAGCCTCAAGTTTAGCTCAATAAGATCCTTTTTTAGCCGGTCAGGTAAATAAGACCAAAGACAATGTCTATCTTATTCATTCCTCACTATGTCCCCAGTGCCTAGCAAATGAATACATACTGTCTTTTTATAGGAACCAGCTGTCTTGCTCTTCTTTCCGAAAACTCGATCGCCCGCACCATCTTTGGAAAATAGCAGCTCAGAAACAACTCTGTCCACCAGAGCAAAACAAGATATGGGGTCTGTAGTTCCTAGGCAACGGGCACAAGTGTCTGTGTGGGTTTTTTTGTTGTTGTTTTTTAAATTTTTTTACTTATTTTATGCTGTCACTTGCTGGGCTGGGTGGATGTCAGAAAACCTAGAGACCATGTACACCTATCAGGAGCTGGGTGATTGGTTAAATCACTGAGCTCTCTTTCGGAATGGATAGGGTAAGGCAGGCATCTCTGACAATATTCTGGCAGTGGACCGCTCACGGAATGCTGTCAGAGGTAGGACTGAAGCCCCGCTGCTGAAGTTAGCTTGTCTGAGGCCTGAGTCCCTGAGCAGGAACCTTCAACGCACACAGCGTTATGCAAGTGAGTCTCAGCGCGGCAGTGCCCTTATCTGTGATGTGGAGATAACGCCCGCCTTACAGGGCTTCCACGAGGATTCATCAGCTGGGACTTGTGAAACATCTTCACACGGAAGTCTCATTAAATGCTATTTTCCAGAAAAATTTTTTTTCCTTATACAATCATTTGCTGATGGGATTAAAAGCCATTTCCCCCCTCCTGATAACCATAGAGCCCGAGGTGGGAGAAATTGAATTATTATCATGGGAGTCTTGGAAGGCAGGTTTTCTCTGGGTTTGTGTAAACTGTGGTAGTCCGTCCCATTTGGATATTTTTAAACTGCCAGTTGTTGGACATCTACTCTGAGTCAGCTACTGATCCAGGTGGGAAACACACAGAAGAGCAAATTAATGTTTGTGCCTTCACAGACCTTACATTCTAGTTGGAAGACAATAATGAGGGAGAGGGAGAGAGAGAGAGGGAGAGGGAGAAGGAGAGGAGGAGGGGGAGGGAGAGGGAGTGGGAAAGGGGGAGAGAGAGAGAGGGGAAGGATAAAATGTCATATAAAGTGCTACAAAGAAAAATAAAGCAAGGAACTGAGAATGACCAGGCTGCTGTTTTAAGTAGGCTAATCAAAGAAGCGCCCTCTGAGGAGACGACATTTGAAGTGACCTGAATGAAATGAGAAACGGGGCCTTAACACCCGAGGCCAGACTGTCCCAGGCAGAGAGGGAGAGAGAAGAAATGGGATGATGTTCAGGGCACGTGGCCGAAGCAGACCGAGCAAGGGGGCAGTGACCGGGCAAGGTCAGAGAGGCGGGCGGGGGCCAGGGCAGGAGGCCCTCCTGGCTCACCCCAAGGACGCCAGGGCCGTTTGACACAGTGAAAGCTCACGCACAGGTTCTGTCTTCTGATACGGCTCAGAGCCTTGGTATCAGGCAGAGCCGCACAACGACCACACCTAGATCGCAGAGGCTTATAAAGGCCGGGGCTGACGCCGGGCCTCTGAAGTGCTGGAGGCCGCTGAGCTGTTGCTTTGTGTGTGTGGGAGGGACAGCGCAGTGAAACACAGACTCTGGTTCCCACGTATCGGATCACTGATGAGGACAGAACAAGTTGTGAAAGGCTCCGGCCGCCCTGCCGGGTGAGCTCCTGGCCACGGGGGCTGCCTCCGTTCCTCTGACCTGACAGAGAATCGTGCTTTTCTCATGTGCCCGTCCCCTCAGGACACAGTGAAAGCCAGGCCTGCCTACAGGCGCAGAGATGTCCCAAGCCTCCTCTGCTCTGCCCTCTCCCTGGTATCTCCTAGTAAACTGGCCGAGGTGAGTAGAAAGGCATGTGAGGCCCTGGCCAGTTTGGCTCAGTGGATAGAGCGTTGGCCTGCAGACTGAAAGGTCCCAGGTTTGATTCCAGGTCAAGGGCATGTACCTTGGTTGCAGGCACATCCCCAGTGGGAGGTGGGCAGGGGGCAGCTGATCAATGTTTCTCTCTTATCGATGTTTCTAACTCTCCATCCCTCTTCCTCTCTGTAAAATAAATAAATAAATAAATAAATAAATAAATAAATAAATAAATAAATAAATAAATAAAATATATTAAAAAATAAAATAAAAAGGCCTGTGAGATGTCAGGATTTAGGTGAATTGTTAGTCTCTGTCTTCCCCGGAGGTCACCCTCCAGCCTACGTGCACTTTTCCTCCGAAAAGGGGGTTAGTGTGGCACTTGGTGAAAGTTCTCTGTGACGAGGCTGGCTTTTATCTGATGTGACAGGGACACTGAAATCAAGGGAGGTGACACACCAAGAGGAAACAAGGGAATTCAAATCGGTCTCAAGAAACAGAAGCAGGTGTCCAGAACGGACAGGCAGAGCGAGCCAAAGATTGAAAAACTAAGAACAAAGACTCAAAAGGAAAAATAAGCCTAGGATAAATATTGCAGACAGGTACTGTTGCCTACAGCTCAGTCTTAGGTGCTTATTGAGGCGGCCAGCTGTGCTTAAAGGGCCAGAAATGGAGCTTGTGGCCATGCTTTGGAATCAGCATTAAGTTCATTTCTTGTTGCTGTGGTTGAGATCCCTGCAGGCTGAAGCCAGGGCTTCCTCACTACAGAGGTCTGCAGGGGGGTATTCTGGAGCTGGAGACCTTGGTCCGCTGCAGGGAGCACCTCCCGTAAGCCAGGCGGCCTGGCAGAGCGGGGCATCTGAAAGGTATGCAGGCCAGACCTGTAAACCCCCTTTTCCCTCGGAGCCTAGGAGAGCATGAGGGCACCCCACTGCTACCTCCCGGTCCGGCTCAGTCCTCCCTCCCGCTCCCTGGCTCCCCGGAGCTGTGGCCACACAGGAGCCAGAAAGCCAGCCCAGCCGCATTACTAATTGAAACCACATGTCAGGTTACCCTTCTCCGCGGCCAGTGAGAAAGGAGAGCCTCCCCTTTAAGTAACCTGTTTCCAGCTAAAGAGCTCCTTTGGAAACAAATAAGAGTGAAGAAAATTAGCTCTTTGGGGGAAAGAAAGTCAAATTTGAACCTCCATATTACCCCCTCCCTCCCAAATCAAGTAGAATTCAGAATTAAACAACTTTTTTCTTTTTAACTAATATGTTAAATATGATTAATTATAATAATGAAGACTCAAAATGGACAAGGACTCTATGGAAGAAATCACAAAGGTAAAAATGACTTGGTTGACTGAACAAAATAAAAAAAAGTTTCATATGCCAAAAAAAAAAAAAAAAAGGAAAAATCTAATGACAAACTTGGAACATTATTTTCAACAAATTTTAAAAACAAGGGAATAATAATTTATACTCTCTGTGTGTGTGTGTGTCCCTACATATAGATTTAATTTATATGTTTATATATTATATAATAAAAGCCTAATTGCAAATTATCCTCATGACCGGGAGTTTGACCAGCAGGCAGGAGGGGGGTGCCACCCCCTGGCTGGCCCAGCCCTGATCAGGTGCCCAGATTCATGCACTGGGCCCCTAGTTTATTATAATGTAACATATATTTAATTTAATATATATTAAAAATCAGTAAGAAAAATACCAGTGCTTCAGTAGAAAAACATGTGATCCATTTAC